CTCTGACTGGGGACCCAGAGGCTGCCCACGTGCTCAGAGGTGGACACCCTGGGAGGGAACAAGAGGACACTGGGGCACTGGTGGGGCCCACAGGTAGGCGGACCAAGGAGAGAGGCAGGGCCCAGCTTGCCACAGGGGCCAGGAGGGTCCCACAGAGAGGGACACATGGGGAAGAAGGGGACACCGGAAGCGAGAGAGCAGTGGCCCTCACGGGAGAGGGGCAGCCCCATCTTGACAGGAGAGGACTGGCCAGGCCAAGGTCTGTACAGGATGAGGAGACATTTGGGGTCAGGGAGTCTTTTTTTTTTTTGTACCGGGGATCGAACTCGGGAACTTGTGCTTGTGAGGCAGGTGCCGGAACCACTGAGCTAAATCCCAGTCCGCGTCTGGGAGTCTTTATGTCCTTTGTCTTTTCTTCTGATGATGGCAGGACAGGGCTCCCCGGACAAGCCACCCAGGTCTGGGTGCTGTGGGGGGACCTCAGGCAGGGCCTGCCTTGGGGCAGCACACAGAGTCCCTCCAGCCAGGGAGGGGACGGAGGGACGTTTCAGGAGAGGTTGGGGTGAAGACCTGGAGAGACTGGACGAGCGGCCCAGGGTGGGCTTGGTCTGCGCAGGGAGCCTGGAGCCGGGGGATGCTGCCTTTCATCGTGCCCACGCCAGTGTCAGGCCCAGGCTGGCAGACGGCAGCAGCTGCTTCCTGGCATGAGGACAGTTAGACCACAGGAGGCTGCCATGCCTGCCCTCCCCACTTTGATGGGTTCCAACCTCCTCCCAGGCAGTGCCTCAGTGGGCCTGGAGGCTGAGCTGCCACACGGCCCCTAGGGCAGGGGTGAGGCTTTGGCTATCAGCACAGCTTGGGGGCACAGTAAAGAGGTCCTGACAGTGGGCAGCCCCAGGCCTGGAGCTCAGCTCTCAGGCTGCCCTCCCTCCATGCCAGGGCAATGGCACACTTCCTCCACCCAGCCACCGGCCTCTGTGGAGCAGGTGCAGCCCCCGCGCCATGGGGCCCCAAGATCAGTCCTGCTGGTGGCTCAATGCCAGGCAGGGAGGGGGTCTCAGGGCAGACAGTGAAGGACAGGTGGCCATCAGCCTGGATGGCATCTGAGTGCTTGGGTTCTACAAATCTCGAGTCAAAGCTATTTAAGGAAAGGAGGAAAGAAAGGTGGGGGGAGAAGCTGGGTGGTACACACTTCTAATCCCAGCTACTCAGGAGGCTGAGGCAGGGAGATCACAAGATTGACCCTAGCCTGGGCAATTTAACAATTTAGAAAGACCTTTGTCAAAAATAAAAAAGGGCTAAGGTTGTAGCTCAGTGTGAAGGTCCTAGATTCAATCCCCAATACTGCAAAAAAAAAAAAAAAACACCCAAAAAACAAAAACAAACAAAACCCAAGCAGCAGGCCAGGGATTTAGCTCAGTGGTTCCACCACCTGCCTTGCAATCGCAAGGACCTGAGTTTGAGCTCCGGTACCAAAACAACAACAACAAAAACCCCAAGCAATGGTTGGGTATGCTGAACATACACAGACTTTCGCCTTGCTGGTACTCCTTGAGCGTACAGTGTGGCAGCTGTTTACATTAGCACTTACATTGTGCAGAGAAGTTCATAGCACACAGGAGGGAGTGCCCAGTTCTCTGCAAAGCCTGTGCTACTCCGTAAGGGACTGAGCCTCCAGGGGTTGCGGTGCCTACAGGGTCCTAGGATTGTCCCTTGGGCGAGGGCTGGCTGTAAGCTCAATCCAGGGGGTATCAAGTGTTACACAGACACTGAGGTGACAGCCAGGTCCAGAGAGGGCCAGGCATTAGTTGTGGTGGGCAGGCAAGGGGCCATAGTGGGAATGTCTGCCAGGAAGGACAGCAGGCGCCAAGCCCTGTAGTGGGAGCCAGGCTGAGCCGTTGCAGAATGGGGCAGTGGGGAAGGGGAGCAGATCACAAAGCCTGGGCCTAGAGTCCCACAGGGTGGACAGAATCCCACACATACCTGGCCACCTGGAGCCTCTGTGTGGGACCTGCCTTGGAAACAGCATCACAGCGGACAGGGCTAAGGTGAGGATCTGGAGATGAGAAGCAGGCACCCAGGGACACAGAGAGCCCGATGGCCGCGTGACGCACAGGCAGAGGTGAGCATGCATCCCTGGCAGAAGGCGCCAGGGCTACTGGGAGCTGGGAGCAGAGACAGGAAGGAGCCTCAGAGGGAGCACGGCAGCCCACACCTTGATGTGGACTTGGGCTGCGGAGCTGTGAGCAACAGCCTGGGTGGGTCGTGACAGTGGCTACAGGCCAGGGGCCCTGGAAGGTGAGGCCCAGCACCTGGTGTCAGGCTTCCAAGCTGCTCTGGCTTTGCTGCTCTTTCCTCCTCTTGCTCCTCCCGTTCTTCCTCCTCTTCTTTTACACTACTGAGGACTGAACCCAGAGCCTTCAAACTGAGCTACATCCCCAGACCATTTTATGTTTCATTTTGACTCAGGATCTCGGTAAGCCATTAAGTTGCCCACACTAGACTTGAACTGGTGATCCCCCTGGCTCAGCCTCCCAGAGTGCCCTGGCTGCTGTGGGGAACCCACCCACTGTGAAGGCCAGCAGGAAGCAACAGACTGGTGGCAATGGTAGCCAGGTTGGGATGCTTAGACGGCACAGCTGAGAGGCTGCTGCAGGGCTGAGGGTGTGGAGAGGGAGGGGTGGGGATGATCTCAAGAATCAGGAGAAATTGGTAGAAAATGAGCAAATGGTCTGAGGCGGCAAATTTGAAGACTGAAACAATCCGTGGCTGGCAAAGGAGCATGTGGGAAACACTCCTTGTCATTAGCCATTGAGGAAATGAGTGAAAGCCACGGTGAGATACCGCTATGAGGCATTGGAGCACATTTCCATCCCTCCTACTGCGCATCTGTGGGGGATGGATCCACAATCGTCAGTGTCCGGGCTGCCAAAGAGTCACACGGTCACACACAGCACCAACGGAGCTCCGAATAAGCACACGGAACGAAAGTCCTGTGTGGTCCCATTACTACAAATCTTTGGAAAGGAGATGAGCGTGCTGGTGTGCGCCTGTGATCCCAGTACTGTTTCGGGAGGCTGAGGCAGGAAGATGGAAATTTGAGCCCAGCTCAGGCAACTTAGCAAAACTAAAAAGTACTGGGAATGTAGCTCGGAGCAAAGGCCCAGGTTCAATCTCTAATACTGCAATAATGAGTGAATGGATGGAGGGAGGGATGAATGCAGGTTAGACCAGCGAATCTGCAGAGCCCACTTGCACTTCTCGTGCTGGGGAACATAAGACAGATTTGCTTCAAGGATCTCTGGTCATGCATCCCAGGTGGCACAATGCTTGGGTCTTGGGGGCCCAGCCTGACCCCCAAAGGTTCTAAGGCTGCAGCTGTGTGTGGCCACCTTGCAGGCCTCAGGTGAATGCCACACATGCCTCCCCAGGGAACAGGGAAGCTGGGACTGGGAAGGGCAGACAGTACTAAGGACAGTCCTGGTGGTAGAATCAGGATTCGAACCCAGAGCCCACTGTGCACAGAGCTGTAAGTGCAATGGTGAGAACTGCAGGCCACTTTTGGGGCAGAAAGGTGGGGAACTTAGGCCCACACTACTGGAGTGGGGATGTGGCCTGCAGGAGGATGGGCGACACACAAGAAAGCACTGTAGCCAGGTGTGGTGGCTCGTTTGTAATCCCAGCCCTCTGGGAGGCTGAGGCAGGAGGATTGCAAATTTGAGTCCAGCCCACGCAATTTAGCGAGACTCTGTCTCAAAATACAAAATAAAAAAGGGCTGAGGATATAGCTCAGTGCAAAGGCCCTGGGTTCAGGGAAATAACAACAACAAACCAACCCACGGCCTGCTGGCAAAGGGGCTGGATGGAGTGGGGATAGGCCAGACTTTTTACTGCCTACTCTTTGGTACCTTTTTTTTTTTTTTTTTAAATTTTGTTTTTGGTACTGAGGATCAAACTCAGGTCCTTGTGCTTGCGCAGTAGGTGGCGAAACCACTGAACTAAATCCCCGGCCCTCTTTGATACCTTTTGACTTTTGCTCCTGTCGGTGTTTCATCTATTATAAAATAATAAATGAAGATCTTAAACAAAAATCAAATCCCCCTTCTTGCTCTGCCTAGTACCCGCTGCTGCTGGGAGTGGGTGGGGCAGGTAGGTGGGGGTAGCTCCTCTCTCTGGGGACCAGGCTTGTGACCTTGACCCAGGGGAAGATCTGGAGTTCTGTCCTTGCCCCAGTGCCGCTGGCCTCCCGCCCAGCAAGGCATCCTGACACCAAGGTGACATCAGATCCCTTCCTGGGAATGGCCTTGGGGGTGAGTGGCTGGCAGCACTGACCCTGAAGGAAGCCAGATGGTGGGCTGTATACAGAGCAGGGCCATCTACCCTCTACAGTGCCCAAACTGGGGATCTCAGCTAGCTGTCCACCCCTGATTTTAGCTCCTGCCATTCGATGATTGGTAGAAAAGCAGGACTCTCTAATTCTTTTTTTTTTTTTTTTCAGTACTGGGGATTGAACTGAGCACTATTTTTGTTTTTTATTTTGAGACAGGGTCTAAATTACTAAATTGCCCAGACTGGGCTAGAAGAATTTGTAATCCTTCTGTTTCAACCTCCCAGAGTGCTGGGATTATAGGCGTGCACCACAGTGCCTAGTAGGATTCTGATTCTTCTTTATTCTTTTTCTTATGTACTGAGGAATCGAACTCAGGACCTTGCACTTGCGAGGCAGGCGGTGGAACCACTGAGCTAAATCCCCGGCCCAGGATTATGATTCTTATTGCTACTCTTAGCTTTTCGTCCTAGTTGTCTGCAGGAAGAGGCCAAACAGCGCCCACTGGCAGGTATCTTCATAGGAGGTGGAGCGAGGTGTTGTGGCGTCCGACAACCTCCAATCCCGAGAGGGCGCTGCAGGCTCTGCCCACGCGCCGCGAGCCCTGCTTAACTTTTCCCTTCATTTCGTCACTGTTTTGCTTCCGGTCATCCCGGAAGTTGCTTCCCGGAGTCCATTTAGAGCAGTTTCCGGTTCCGGGAGGCCGGGGCTGCGGGGCGCCGGAGTGTCGAACTGGGGTTTCGTCTGCAGCAACTCTCTGCGCCCATCCCCACCGCCTGCGTTTGGTTTCCGCTCCCGACTGGCATCCTCTGCAGCCCTGCGCCGTCTGCGGCGGCCCTGGTCTCATTCGGCCCTGCACGCGCGGTGCGAACGAATGAATGAGGAGTAACTGATTTCCTGCCGCCTCCTCCCTAGGTGACGTCTAGGTTGCAAAGAGCTTGAATGCACCGGGCGCGATGAACCGGGCCAAGCCCACCACCGTGCGCAGGCCCAGCGCCGCGGCCAAGCCCTCAGGTGCGTCCCGCGCGGCCCCTCAGAGTCTCTGGAACACTGATCGTCCCGGCCGGGCAGAGCTGGGCGGCCGCGAGCTCCTGCAGGACACCGTGGTTCCGGCCCAGCTGAGCCTCAGGAGGCTGCCCTGCTGCACTGTTAACAACCTGGACCCGGGACCTGCTGTTGCCACTTGCACACTGTGTTTGTCATTGAGCACGCGAACTTCTCTGTGTCTGTTTTCCCCATCTGTAAAGTGAGAGTAATCGCACCTGTCCCAGAAACTTCTTGAAGATTAAGTAAACTGATACTTGCAGGTCAGAGATGGCCCGGATTGTAGGCAGCACTGTGTAACACTCCAGCCGCCACTTGTTACCATCACACAGGTCCTGGCTGTGCTGTGGACTTCCCGAGTGACCCTGGGCCTCTTTCTTGTCTCTTCTGACTCTTGTCATCCCCTCTGAGGCGGCAGGGTTGGAATCAATCTTTGACACCTCGGGCATCACATGCGTTTTCTATCTCTCTTTCTGCAGGGCACCCTCCGCCCGGGGACTTCATTGCTCTGGGCTCCAAGGGCCAGGCCAACGAATCGAAAACAGCATCCACCCTGCTGAAGCCAGCCCCATCCGGCCTGCCTTCCGAGAGAAAGCGGGATGGTGCCACTGCCCTGTCTGGTGCCTCCTCACTGACCGGCCTCACCAAACGCCCCAAACTCTCTTCCACGCCCCCACTGAGTGCCCTGGGGCGCCTGGCTGAGGCTGCGGTGGCAGAAAAACGAGCCATTTCTCCCTCAATCAAAGAGCCATCTGTGGTGCCGATTGAAGGTAAAGTCAGTCTCTGGACTTCCCCAGGGAATGAGACCCTCTCCATTCACCATACAGGCCCCAGGGTCCTCGGTGGGGACAGGTACCTGAGTGCCTTAGTGGGCACTTGCTCACTGTGGACTTGTTCCCCAGAGCACCTCTGAGTTCCATGCTGCCCTTTGGGGGAACTGGTTCATCTGTTGTGTTGAGTGCCCCTTTTGAATGGGTGCTGTTCTGATCCTTGGGGGGGGAAGGTGAACCCAGGTGCTGTTAGTCCAGGTCATTAAGGCCAAGAATCCTAGTGTGTCCCTCTGGCTACTGACAGTGGAGAGTTTTTTCCTCCCTGTTTTCAGTCAAAGAGGCAGCAAGACAATGTCAGTAGATGCCAGCAGAAGTGTGTACTTTACCCATGGTCATTTTGTTCACAGATACTTTAATTTTGCACCCATCTGAAATCATGCCTGGTTTTCTTTTCTGTCTGTCTTTCCTTTTAGTGGCACTGGGGACTGAACCCAAGATCTTCACACTAAGGTGCATCCCAGCCTGCTCTTACAATTTTTAAAAAATTTTAAGACAAGATCTAGCTAAGTTTTTTAATTTATTTTTTGATTAATTGATTGTTTATTTGAGATGGGCTCTTGCTGTGTATTTCAGGCTGGCCTTAAACTTACTCTGTAGCCCAGGCTGGCTGTGAACTCATAACAATTCTTCTGCCTCAGCCTCCTGAGTGCTGGGATTACAGTTTTGTGCTGTCACACCCAGTTGGTTTTCCTAAATTTCTAGCTAGCCACATGCTGGGCTAGAACTTGAGATCTTCCTCTCTCAGCCTCCCAGAGTGCTGGAGTTATAGGCATGTACCGCCTGGCCCGGCTCATCCTTGCTTTTCTGTGTCACTTCCTCCGTGATCATTTTTAATGGTTCTGTGATGTATGTAGAGTAAGATTGGTTTACAATCAAACCAGGCAGCTGCTTGTTCTCTGACAGCAGACCTGGCTCTCCATATGGTTATAGCTTCTTTGAAGGAGCCAAAAAGAACATCCTGTTGGTCTTGTTGGCTTTAGTGGTGACATTATCACTTCTACTGAGTTTTCATATGAATGGTCTGGAGGCCTGGTGGCCTGTGTGACCTTCGCCCTCAGGAAGCTCAGAGACTCCATGGGAAACCAAGAGGGTGGGACCGGGTCCCTGTGATGGGAAGGAGCCTGTGACTGACCCCTGGGAGGAGCACGAACACAGCTCCCTGACAGCCTGCGGGCAGGAGCTGACTGACAGACAGCCAAAGCTGTGGGTGAGCAAAGCAGAGCAGAGGCCCGGGCTGTGTCTGATGTGAGATGAGAGCAGGGCCTGGTGTGACCGGCACACGGTGGTGAGAGCCGAGGCGAGTGCTGGTGCTGGACCAGGCCAGTGGGCAGCCCGTGTTGGTGAGGATGGCAGTAGCTGCAGGGTGAAGGGTCCAGCCCGGTTGTAGGTCTTTACCGCCAGCGCCACTTTGGGGTTTCTAGTATCACCTCTAAAGTGGTTTTGAAGATTAAGTAAGATGCAGCTGTGGAAAGCACATCCTCTGCCATCCGGAGGGGACCTCTGCCCTTCACCCTTGGCGGTGCCATGATCTCTGTGTGGGATGCTGCTTGGAGAGGGTCGTGCTTCCATCAGACTGGCCCATGGGGTGTCCAAGGTTCGCCGTGCCCCGGTGGCTGTGAGTGACCCCCGCTCCGCCCCTGCTAACCAGCTCCTCTGCTGTCCAGTTCTCCCCACAGTGCTGCTGGATGAGATCGAAGCGGCTGAGCTGGAGGGCAACGACGACAGGATTGAGGGTGTGCTCTGTGGGGCAGTGAAGCAGCTAAAGGTGACTCGGGCCAAGCCTGACAGCACGCTCTACCTAAGCCTCATGTACCTGGCCAAGATCAAGCCCAACATCTTTGCCACGGAAGGTGTCATCGAGGTGAAGTCTCCTCATCTACTGCTCCCCAGGAGCCCCCCACTAGAGCCTGCTGTGTCTCGTGCACAAGGTCCCAGGACAAACACGCACCCTCCCTTGCAGGCCCTGTGCAGCCTCCTCAGGCGGGACGCCTCAATCAACTTCAAGGCCAAAGGGAACAGCCTGGTATCTGTGCTGGCCTGTAACCTGCTCATGGCTGCTTATGAGGAGGATGAGAACTGGCCTGAGATCTTCGTGAAGGTGAGCTGCCTCTCCCAGGCCCCAGTGTAGGAGAGAGGCAGACAGAATCCCTTTCCCTGGCAGGGTGCATCTTGTGGCCCCAGTGCCATGCCACTGTTCCTCCTGCACTGAGGGGTTGGTTAGGGCTCTGGAGCACCCTTCCCATTGGTGGGGCGGCTGGTCTGCATGCAGGGGACATGGGCTGCCTGTAGCCTGAGACTATGGCTTGCTGCAGGTGTACATCGAAGACTCACTGGGGGAGCGGATCTGGGTAGACAGCCCTCACTGCAGGACGTTTGTGGACAATATCCAGACGGCGTTTAATACCAGGATGCCCCCCAAGAGCATGCTGCTGCAGGGGGAAGTGGGGCGCAGCGGGGGTGACCTCGGGGCTGGTAAGGAACAGGGCCATCTGAGGTCAAGGAGGGATAGCTAACCTGGGCGGGAGAGAAGCTGAGGTTGGGGAGGATGCTGATAGGAGGCCAGGGTTGTGGGAAGGGCATCCCATGGGGCTCTCATGGTCCACACAGGGAGCAGCCCCCACCCCTCTCTCACGGAAGAAGAGGACAGTCAAACAGAGCTGCTGATTGCTGAGGAGAAGCTGAGCCCCGCACAGGAGGGTCAGCTCATGCCCAGGTAGGTGGGCCACATGGCCAGGCTGGGGCCAGGTGGGAGGCGGGCTGGGAGAGCCCAGAACAGCGTCCTTCCTTGCCCCCTTTCACCCTCTGGCCTAGGTACGATGACCTCGCAGAAAGCATGGAGGAGTACGTGCTGGACATGCTGCGGGACCAGCTCAACCGGCGGCAGCCCATCGACAACGTCTCAAGGAACCTCCTTCGGTTGCTTACCTCTGCCTGTGGCTACCGGGAGGTGCGGCTGCTGGCTGTGCAGCGGCTGGAGATGTGGCTGCAGAACCCGAAGGTGGGCCTGGTGCAGTGGCCTCCTGAGATCCTGCCATCTTTGGCTTGTACTCACAGTTCTGTCTTGGCCTCTGCAGCTGACCCGACCGGCCCAGGACCTGCTGATGTCTGTGTGCATGAACTGCAACACGCATGGCCCAGAGGACATGGATGTCATCTCCCACCTGATCAAGATCCGCCTCAAGCCCAAGGTGCTCCTGAACCATTACATGCTGTGCCTCAGGTGTGCAGGAAAGGCAGGGGCTGTGGGCCACGAGCAGGTGGGTGCTGGGGTGGCAGATGAGAGGTCCTGCCTATCCCCTTCCCATGTGCCTGGCTCTTTCCAGAGAGCTGCTGAATGCCCACAAAGACAACCTGGGCACTACCATCAAGTTTGTGATTTTCAATGAGCTGTCCAACGCCCGGAACCCCAACAACATGCAGATCCTCTACACTGTGCTGCAGCACAGCTCTGAGCTGGCACCCAAGGTGGGTGCCTACTGGGCAAGTTGGGGCTGTGGGCCTCAAGCCTGGCCCTGCTCCTGTCCACAGCAGCCTGTGTGGCGTTGGGTGGAGGGGAGCGCTGGTGTGGCCTGTTGTCCAGTGTTCAGAGGAGGTAGCTGGCTGCTGGTGCCTTGTGGGAGAAAGCTCCTGGGCCCTGGGAGGGGCAGGAGTGTTTGAATCTTGCTTCCAGTTTGTCTTTGGAAACTGAAACTCAGCTTGTTGAGGAAGCAGCACCGAGGCCCTAAAAAGTCTTCAAGCCCCTTGAGCAGTGGTTTTCCCAAACTAAGCAGGAGCTTCATGAGTGCTCACTGTGGGGTCCCTGCCTCAGGTCTCCATAGACAGAAGCCTGGAAAGTGCTCCTGTTGCTTAGCCAAGCTGGGCCGAGTTGAATGTTAGCCTGCTGGTTCTGCTGCCCCAAACCTGGTCATCTCTGTGGCTTTGCATTTTTTAAAAAAGTAGTGTGTTATTTAGGACTTCTGGTTGAGATCTTTGGCTTTTGCTGTTCTTTGAGGTTGAGAGCAGGGTGTAGGATACTCATTCCTGTGTCTTTGCTGACAGTATTTTGCCCACCACCCTATGTCTGTCAGTCATTCTGTCCCCTCAGCTGAAGAGGTGCCCTATCGCCATTTGCCAAGAGTGAAGTCAGATCCATCTCCCTGTTGGAGCTCACTGTGGCGGAGGGGGCAGATGGCCATGGTTTTGGGACAGGTGGTTTCTGAGCCCCTTATAGAACCTCACATGCTGACCTTCCTGGAGCTCGGGAGCTGGGCAGGGGAGGTCTAGAGCAGGTCTGGGGAGGCCCCAGTGGTGAGCCTGACAGTGGGCATGAGCTGGTGTTCGGGGCACCATCCTGGATGGCCAGTGTCCTCAGCACCCGCCTGGCCTCTCTCTGCTGTAGTTCCTGGCCATGGTGTTCCAGGACCTGCTGACCAGCAAGGATGACTACCTCCGGGCCTCACGGGCCCTACTTCGGGAGATCATCAAACAAACCAAACACGAGATCAACTTCCAGGCCTTCTGCCTCGGGCTTATGCAGGAGCGCAAGGAACCCCAGTACCTGGACATGGAGTTCAAGGTGCCTCGGTCTGCTCTGTCACCATGGTGGCCTCCGGAGTTTGGTGGTTTCCCTTTTTCTCTGGTGTTTTGCTCAGTTGTCTGTTCCTGGTGTGCCCAGGTACACCTGTCTAGTACACCTGTCTAGCGCCCTGGTCTTAAGTGATCAGAACAGCAATGAGTGAGGGCTGCCAGCAGTGAGGCCCAGAGGGTCACATGGGTTCGCTTTTGGGCGAGGACAACACCTGGGCTGTGTGGAAGAGCTGTGACTGGAGGGGCTGGGAAGCTGGGACTTGAGCAGGGATGGATGACAGGGCCTGCAGGGTGCGGGCAGGGGAGACCTCAGTGTGTGTGAGGGGTCAGGGAGCTTACGTGAGGACTAGGGCAGGGGTGGTGGGTCCCTGGGGCCCTAACATGTTGGTGGTCATCCTGTTTGTCAGCTTCCCGTGAGGGGCTTTGTCCAGCTCTGCGGGCCGGGGCTGTTCCAAGCGCCCTGACCAGGACCTTGCTTAGCTGCTCTTGGCCCCAAGACCTGCTCCTGCCAGACCACTGTCCTGGCATAGTGGCACCTGGGGTCTGTCTGGATTCTTTGCACAACTTCCCAGTTGCTTGTGTGTGTGCATGTGCCTCTAAGTGTGGTGCAGGGCTCACAGGTGGAGACCTTCTAGGGGCCAGCCCTGCTCACTGTGCTTGGCCTGCAGGAGCGGTTTGTGGTCCACATCACAGACGTGCTGGCCGTGTCCATGATGCTGGGCATCACGGCGCAGGTGAAGGAGGCCGGCATCGCCTGGGACAAAGGAGAGAAGAGGAGTAAGATGGGGCAGGCCTGGTGGTATTCTGCACTCCCTCCTGGCACTCCCTCTATGGCTACTGCTGTACCCTGAGGTGCCACTAGAGGGCGAAGAGGGAGCAGTCTCAGCATAGCCACTAGAGGAAACTGAGGGAGATTCTGGAAGGGTCCCTTTCTCCTGTCCATCAGCAGGAGCCTTTGGACCACAGGCAATAGGGGAGGGGCAGACGGTATGTCAGTCAGCCTGGGTCCTGGGAAGGTTTGGCCCAGGGGCCCTTGAAGAGACTGGATGAGGTCATCAGGTGTTTGAGGGTTCCCGACCACAAGCATCCTGTGACCCTCAGAGACTCATGGACCACTCCCTTAGTGTTATTCAGGCTGACTTGGCCTCCACCTCCCTGCTCTGTGCCTCTAGTTTGGTCGTTAATGTCCAGCCTCCCTCCTGATCTAGCCTTGAACCAGACCCTGTGGGCATTTGTTGTCCCCCAAGGCCATCACACAGAGGCCCCTAACTCCGCTTGTCCCTTGCAGACCTTGAGGTGCTACGCGCATTCCAGAACCAGATCGCCGCCATCCAGCGCGATGCTGTGTGGTGGCTTCACACCGTCGTTCCCTCCATCAGCAAACTCACCCCCAAGGACTATGTGCACTGGTAAGCACCGGCATTGTCACTTGGCCTGCACCGCCACCTGCCTGACAGCCACTGGCTCAGACATGCAGCAGGACTCACCAGGGAGAAGTTTGTCGTCTTGGGCCATGGCCACCATGGGCTCCAGGTGTGGTGGTGGACAGCAGCAATCCTTGAGCCGAGGGGCGGGCACCCTCCTGAGCACGTCAGAGCCTCGCACAGAGCCTCTGCTTGGGGGGCAGGAGGACCTTGAGGCTGGGGACCGCCCGTCTCCGGGTCACTGGCCCAGCTCAGCCTTTCGGGCTGTGCATGTGGACCCCCCTGGCGTGCTGTGGGAGGGGAGCCAAAGAACCAGGCAGCCCTAATGGTTCTCCCTTGGCAGCCCCTGACTGAGCGGAGCCCATGGGCACTGGTGGGGTGAGCCCGTGCCCTGAGCTATGCGTCCTGACTGATGGCTGCACTCTGCCCATAGCCTCCACAAGGTGCTCTTCACGGAGCAACCCGAGACCTACTACAAGTGGGACAACTGGCCACCCGAGAGTGACCGCAAGTGAGCTGGCGGGTGGGCAGGGGGTCCCAAATATGGGTGCCGGGTTGGGGCCGGGCTGTTGGGCCTGTGGAGTCTGGCTCCCCACAGAGCCGGCCCTCTCTCCTTGGCCCACAGCTTCTTCCTGCGCCTCTGCTCGGAGGTACCCATCCTGGAGGACACCCTGATGCGGATCCTGGTCATCGGGCTGTCCCGAGAGCTGCCACTAGGCCCCGCAGATGCCATGGAACTTGCCGATCACCTTGTGAAGCGAGCTGCAGCTGTTCAGGCGGATGGTGAGTATCTGCTGGAGCATTGCTCTGGGCCTTGTGCTGGACCCCGCTAGGTGACTGCACCACTGACTGCCCCCTCATCCCACGGAAGCCGCCTGGGTGCCAGTACGTGCCCCTGGGCCCACAGTGGCAAGCCTGCCTGTGTCAGGTGGTGCCACCTCTCATGGGTTTCCTACCTCTCCATGCTCCTGTGGGCCACAGGCTTTCTTGGCAGGGACCTGGGCCTAGGCATCCAGGATCGCTCTGTGCCTTTGGCAGGGATTCACCTTTGCTTGTGTCAGGTTTGCACGAGTTATTGGTGTATTGGAACACAGTGGGCCTTCTGCCTGTCTGCTCTCTTCTCGAGGGACTGTGGAATGATACTCAACTCGTCCAAGGGCTGGCACCCATGGCATGGCAGCGAGGCCCTTGCTGCCCTCCAAGACATCCTGCCCTGTAGGACAGACAGCTCCAGTGCCCATCTCCCCGGGCCCCACCCTGCCCGAGCATTCTGCCTGTGTCCTGTCACGTGGCCTCTGAGTCATCACCAAATCCCACCGCCACACTTGACCCCAGCCCCTGTCTTCCTGGGCTCTCATGCCCCCATCTGGGTCCTGGGCCTGATGCCCAAGGAGTAGCTCTATATGGCTTTCTGGAGCCTGTTTGGGTTTCAGATGTGGAAGTGCTGAAGGTGGAGAGAATCCAGCTGATCGACGCTGTTCTGAACCTGTGCACCTACCACCACCCAGAGAACATCCAGCTACCGCCTGGGTAAGCCCTGGGGCCCCTGACTGGCAGGCAGCCTGCGGCTGTGCCACTGGCTCCCGGGGAGCTCCGGGAAGCCTGGCCAGAACTGGAGGCCTTGAAATTAGAAAGTGAGTCCTTCAGCTTTATTATCACTAGGTTATTTTTGCCCTTCTGAGTCCTAACATTTTTGTGTGAATTTTGGGATCAGCTTGTTAATTTCTGTAAAAAATCAACTGGAATTTTGGTAGAGATACAATATTCAGTCCTCTAACAAACACAGATGTGTTTCTGGGTTTTTTGTTTGGTTTGGTTTCTTTTTTTTTTTTAATTTTTTGAGGCAAGGTCTCCCATTCTATTTCAGGAAGGCCCTGAACTCACTATGTACCCCAGGCTGGCCTCGAACTTGTGGTGATCCTCCTCCCTCAGCCTCCCAAGTGCTGGGAGTACAGGCGAGTGCCACCACTCCCGGCTTGGTTTGGTTTCTTGAGACAGGCTCTCACTATGTAGTTCAGCCTGTTCTTGAATCACTGTGTAGCCCAGGCTGGCCTGGAACTCGTGGTGATCCTCCTGCCTCAGCCTCCCAGGTGCTGACATTACATGTGTGCACCACCATGCCCAGCTGTATTTCTGTTTCAGATCTTTGGTGGTTTTTTGTTTTTTTTTTTCAGATCTTTGGTTTTTTTTAATTGTGTTTTGTAGTTTTTCTTAGGTAAGCCTAAAATTCTTTTATTAAATTTATATCTAAGTATTTCATTGTTTTGGTGGGGAATTTTTTTTTTTTTTTGGTACTGGGGATCGAACTCAGATCCTTGCGCTTGTGAGGCAGGTGCTGGAACCACTGAGCTAAATCCCCGGCCCCCTATGGGGAATGTTTTTCTTAATTTCTTTCTTGGATTGCTAGTGTATGGTATACTCTCCAATTTGATGTTTCATTTGATGGCCTACTTGGGTATCTCTCAAGTCTGTATCACAGATTTTCTTCATTCTTGCTAATAGCTGGGATCTATTTCATCTGCCGACTGTACTTAAGCTGTGATTATATTATATAGTTTTGTTTTTTTTCCTTTTTTTTTTTGGTACTGGGGATTGAACTCAGGACCTTATGCTTGCAAGAAAACAGGCAGCGGCACCACTGAGCTAAATCCCCAGCCCTATATTATGTAGTTTTTAAATGTTGCAGTTGCATACTGTGGAATACGAGGATTTCTAGTTGTTTAACATAGAGAATAAGATAACGTTCGTTGAGCATTTATTACTTTGTCCACCAATATTCCCATTTAATAGATGGGAACTGAGGCTTAGAAGGGTCAGTCATGGCCCAGGGCTCAAAACTACCGAGAGGGAGTGGCTTGGGCCCTGAGCCAGGCCGTGTGATCATGTCCACATGTTTGTGACGTGGACAAGCATGCTGGAGGGGAGTCCTGGGAGGGGAGGTTTCAAGGCACTGCACCATTGTCACAGTCCAGGGCGTGACCAGGTTGGCCAGTTCCTGGTTCATCTGCACGTGCCATGGCTGCTTTGTCTAGGACTGATTTCCTGTCCCTGAACTCAGGGTGGCTGAGCCCATGTTGTCGACATCCTCCCCTCCAGGTACCAACCCCCAAATCTAGCCATCTCCACCCTCTACTGGAAGGCATGGCCCCTGCTGCTGGTTGTTGCTGCGTTCAACCCCGAGAACATCGGTGAGCCTGTCCTGGCTACTTGCAGGCTGGGTCATGGGTGCGTGGTTCCTCCTTGGGGACCGCTCATGTATCAGGGACTGGAGTGATGGCTGCCCTGGTGCCTGTAGGGAGCCCAGCCCTCTGTTCTCCTTGCCCCAGGTCTGGCTGCCTGGGAGGAGTACCCCACACTGAAGATGCTCATGGAGATGGTGATGACCAAGTAAGTCAGCTGCTTCTGCCAGGGCACCAGGGACGCACAAGGAGCAGGGCCGGGCTTGAGGAGAGCAGCCCGTCTCCTGCCTCAGCGTACTGGCTCCCTGGTGCCGATTTGCTGATAGATTGAGTTCCGATCCAAGTGTGTCACACTTAAGTCTCTTCCCATTGCCCTTGGGTGGGGTGAGGGGCAGTGTGGATGGAGACCCCCCTACGGGGTCCTGCCAGGAGGGCTGTGGGGACCCCACTGGCCTCTCCTGGACAGCACTTATACTGCAGACACAGGTGAGTATGGTCAGACTGAGGACTGAGGACAGTGTGACGCCAGTGGGGATGTCAGGGTGGAAGAAGCCCCAGGCAGATAAGCAGCCCTGCCTGCCCCAGCCGTGGTGAAAGGCACGGTGTGGTTGGCACAGCCTGAGAAGGACAGGTAGAGCTGTTGTGACCACGTAGCTCAGTGTGAGTGTGCTCTTACAGCATGGTGCCAGGCAGGACCATGAGAGACCTGCTCCCCTGCCAGGAGGCCAATCTAGACAGCGAAGGCACACACACAGGACAGTGGCCGCACTAGGGTGGAGCCTGAGACTGTGATGTTGTGGGAACCGGGCCTGTGTGCAGCCATGGGATTACGGGCACCCGGCCCATGTGTGGCTGTGACATTGTGAGGTCTGTGGCTGAGAGACGTGGCTGCCTTCTTTACATGATTGAAAAAGGCTAGGGTACAGCCTAAGTGTGACATTAGGGACAGAACTCAGGAAGGGACACCACAGAAAGGCAGGTTTTAAGACACTGGAAGGAGCTGAACCATTCGCCCCTGCCAGCAAGTCCTGCCCCTAGAGATCCCCAGGTAGGGGAGCCTGTTGGGATCCATTGTAATAAACGAGGATTCCAGTGCCTTGTGGTGTGACATTAGAGTGCGCGTCCTGGAGGAGACTGGGAGTCTGACACCGACCAGGCTTGATGCTAGAGAGGTCTGTGGTGCTGCCGTGGGAGAAAGTGGCAGTGGGGCTCCCAGAGCACCAGGCTCTTGGGCTCAGCCTGATGACACTGTCACCAACCCCAGAGGGTACCCAGTGCCTCAGGCCAAGCGCCGGGTAGTGGCAGCCTTGCGAGTCTTGACCCTGCGTGACTGTGAGCATCACCTGGTGGGCTCCAGCCTGTGCGGGGGCAGGGTGACAAGGTCCTCCTTACTTGGTCCCCAGTAATTACTCCTACCCGCCGTGCACCCTGACGGATGAGGAGACCCGGACAGAGATGATTAACCGGGAACTGCAGATCTCCCAGCGGGAGAAGCAGGAGATCCTAGCATTCGAGGGCCATCTGGCTGCTGCGTCCACCAAGCAGACAATCACTGAGAGCAGCAGCCTCCTCCTGTCACAGCTCACCAGCCTGGACCCCCAGTATGTCCCCATGCCCTTCCCTAGCACCCTGAGGCCCAGGGCAGAGATCTCTGTGGCAGGTGGTTGGCCTGGGTGGGATGAGTGGAGGGCAGAGCCAGCTGCACCTTGCTGACCGTGAGCACCTGCCACACTCCGGCCCCATTGCATTGGCACCTCTGCATTGCATCTCTGTGGATCAGGTCTGGGGATAGCTGGGTTGAGCCTGGCATCCGTCCCAGGGTCTTGACTACCCTTGGGAGCAGGGCCCCTGCCCAACACTGTTGGCTCGGGGAGTACTGTGCAGGCCGCTTTCTGACCTTCCTGTCCTCTGTGAACTTCAGGGGGCCCCCCCGGAGGCCACCTCCTCACATCCTGGAACAGGTAAAGGGCCTCAACCAGTCCCTGCGCCTTGGGCACCTCCTGTGTCGCAGCCGCAACCCTGACTTCCTCCTCAACATCATCCAGAGGCAGGTACGCCCTGGTGAAAGGCTCTGGGGGTGGAGAGCAGGTGGCCGGCGGGCTCAGGCTGATGTGGGCTCAGCAGCTGGGAGAGGGTGGCGTGCACCTGCTGTAAGATGGGGGGTACCTGGGTACCTGGGGGCCAGGGCACACCTGGGGCTCAGTGCTGTGCCCTTGACTCCCCACAGGTCTCTGCCTGGGGCTCCGCAGAGGGCACCTTGAAATCCGGCCTTGGTGGGAGAGTGTGGCGCAAGGGTGGCGGGTTTGGGCTGAGGGTGCTAAGCACAGGCCACCGCTGTCACCTGCCTAGGCCTCCTCGCAGTCCATGCCCTGGTTGGCCGACCTGGTACAGTCGAGTGAGGGCTCGCTGGACGTGCTGCCCGTGCAGTGCCTGTGTGAGTTCCTGCTGCACGATGCGGCTGATGACCCCACCTCAGGGGAGGAAGAGGACGAGGGCGAGAACCGGGAACAGAAGGCCAAGAAGCGGCAGGTGGGTGCCCTGCCTGTGCACCTCAGCCGGGCCTCCCAGGTTGCCCCATCCCCTGAGAGGCTCCTCTTGTCCGCAGAGGCAACAGAAGCAGCAGCAGCTGCTGGGCCGCCTGCAGGACCTGCTACTGGGCCCGAAGGCTGACGAGCAGACCACGTGCGAGGTGCTTGACTACTTCCTGCGGCGCCTTGGCTCCTCACAGGTGGCCTCCCGTGTGCTGGCCATGAAGGTGAGCACAGCTGGAGTGCCTTGGCCTTTGTGTCCCCATGTGTCCGCTTCTGTCCCTCTCTGGTTTTTGCTGTCTGTTTTCAACGTGAATACTTAGTGGCTCCAGACCCTGCACTTGCAGTGGGGGCATACAGTGTGGAACAACCACAGCCCTTTGGCATGTCTGGCCCTTCTTGGGTTGAGGAGGTGAAGCATAAGTGTGGTCGGTACTTGCCGCCTCTCAAGTGAGCAGGGTCTGAAGGCTTGACGCCACAGCAGAAGCTGTGCTTAGATGCCTGAGGCCCCCAGCTTGCTCCTCTGCACACACACACACAGCAAGGTGTTAAACAGAAGTGTTTTTGGTGTATGTGCTGCCGAAGCGAGCACTAAACAGAAGTGTTTAGAGGGAACCACCTTGTGCAACTTCTCTTACTTGTGGCAACCAGGAAGCACTGTATCTTCTGCCCAAGGCTTGGAGAGGCACGGGTAGTGCCCGAGAGTGGGAAGGCCGGCTCAGCTCAGCTCTATGCCTGTGCCTGCAGGGCTTGTCGCTGGTGCTCTCGGAGGGCGGCCTGCGGGACAGAGAGGAGAAGGAGCTGCCCATGGAGGAGGACTCAGGGGAGGCAGGTGCACTGCAGGACTACCAGTGGCTGCTGCGGGACCTGCCAAGGCTGCCCCTGTTCGACAGTGTCCGGGCTGCCACTGCACTCGCACTGCAGCAGGTGAGGGCTGCACTGGGCAGGCACAGAGGGCAGGTAGGCAGTGGGAACGCTGGCCAGGAGCCAGCTCAGATGCCTACCCTCTAGGCCATCCACATGGAGACTGACCCGCAGACCATCAGTGCCTACCTGGTCTACCTGTCCCAGCACATGCCGGTGGAGGAGCAGGGCCCACACAGTGACCTGGCCCTGGTGAGTGGGGTGGGATGTGTGGGGACCTGCCCTGGTGAGCGGGTACGGGAGCTGGAGCCTGCTGTGTCTAGAGGGCTTCGATGGCGTGAGGGGGTGGAATGTGTTCTCACATGGTGCAGAGGGCAACTGGAGCTCCAGGATGTTTACTGTCCTCTCTACACTGTCCTCCCCTGGATGACCTGTCGACCTGCCTTTTCTGTCTGCCACACCAGCCACAGTGCAGGCTGGGCAAGTTCCTGGGCCCTGAGTCTGTGGGTGGACGAGGGAGCAAGTGAGTGAACAGCAGTCACTGGGACGGGGCTTTTTCTGCAGCCTGGCTTCCTTGCTGGGGGCTGCAAACCCAGGTCTGCTCACCTGGCGATCTCTCAGTCCTCTGTCCACCAAGCCTCTGGTCCAGTGTCCATCCTGGGGTGGCTTGTGGCCAGGCTTTGCAGCAGTGTTGAGTGTGTATAAATGCCTTATGTGGACAGTTGTGACGGTCTTCTTTTGGCCATGAAGACTGTTTCTCCTGTTGGTGGGTGGTGTGCATGGTCTGTTTCTGACCTGCTCCCGTGCACCCCTTCCTCTCCAGGCTGTGGCAGGCAGACTTTGAAGGCCGTCATGAGCCTTTTCCCTGAGCACCTTGTCCCTTCAGAATCTGAGGAAGCCCTCTGGCCTCTCCCTTCCCCAGTGTTGCCTGAGCATCCTGTGTGTTGCTGGGGACAGTTCACAGTGCTCCTCTCCTGGTGCAGTGTGTGATTGGCCCAGAGTCACATGGTGTCATAACCAGCTGCTAGGCTGATATGCAGGGAGAAGAGAATGGCCACTGGTGGCCACAGTCCCTCTGATGGCACTCGTCTCACCAGGATGTGGCCCGGCTAGTTGTGGAGCGCTCCACCATCATGGCGCATCTGTTCTCCAAGCTTTCCTGCAGCGCCACCTCTGACACAGTTCTGAGTGCCCTGCTGTCTGTCTTCTCCCGCTACGTGCGGCGCATGCGCAAGAGCAAAGAAGGCGAGGAGGTCTACAGTTGGGTAAGGCGACATTCTGCCCCTGGCTCCCGGCTCCTGGCTTCCCAAGGTACCTGGCTCCTAGTCCATTGTCCTGTCTCTGCAGTCGGAGTCCCAGGACCAAGTCTTCCTGCGCTGGGCCAGTGGGGAGACAGCTACCATGCACATCCTCGTGGTCCACGCCATGGTCATCCTGCTGACACTGGGCCCACCCCGAGGTGAGCAGTGCTGGGCGGGGAGGGTCTGTCCTGGAGGGTCATGTCCTTGCCCAGCAGCCATGTCAAGAGCCCAGTGGCCCGGACTGGCTGAGCCCTCTGGCCAGCAGCCTTTCCTTCTTTCCTTCCTGGCCATTGTGACTATCCCACCACTTATCTGATTACTCCTGTGAGAGGAGGGGAAGGCTAAGGAGAGTCTTGTGCACATGGGTGGGCTCTGCCAGAATGGGAGCCGCCAGGTGGCAGTGAAGGTGGCCAGCCCCAGGTATATGTCCACTGTGGCACCCTTGGGAAGGAGAGGGGGAGGCTGGCCTCACTGTCCCGCCTCATGGGCTTCCCCTTGGCCCTGTGGAGAGGGAGTTTGGAAGGGAGCTGGCCTGGACAGGCAGCTTGTGGCATGGGCACAAGTTCCCTGGGGCAGGGGATCTCAGGAGGCAGATTCATCTCCTAAGAGCCTTTTTCCTCACCTGTAAGTAGGGGTTCTGTACCTGTCCCACAAATGAAATACTCCAGTTCATGCTCACTATTGGCCAGTTGGCCCTTGTCTGCATTTGAGTCTTCCCTGTTCCTGTGAGGCCTCAGTTTCCCCTTGTACAAGGAGGATATCCCTGAGGGGCCGTGAGGCTTCGCCAGGTTTGGCCTGTGGTCCTCCTTGGGGTCAGGGCCCTCGTGGAAGAAGGTTGCTCACCCACATCTTTCCCGAAGCTGGTGATAGTGAGTTCTATGAGCTGTTGGACATCTGGTTCCCGGAGAAGCAGCCGCTGCCCACTGCCTTCCTGGTGGACACATCGGAGGAGGCACTGTTACTGCCTGACTGGCTGAAGCTGCGCATGATCCGCTCCGAGGTGCCCCGTCTGGTGGATGCTGGTATGCACCAGACTGGGCTTGAGAGAGGGGAAGGGGCCCGGGAGCCTGCTACCCATGAGCCCTTGGGCCTCTGAGAGACTCCTAGTGCCCATGTGGCCAGCAGAGGCTTGCTGAGTTGTGGCCACACCAGGCTCGGCTGCCCTGTCCAGGATGGATCGGAAGTGCTTCCTGGAAAGGAAGTTAAATGGCCAGGGATTGGGAGGGAAGAGGAACAATCTTGGGCCTCTGAGTTCATTCTTGAAAGTTTTGTGGAGTTTAGGCAGGCTGCAGCGGGGAGAGGAGGGTCCAGCAGGACCATCAGGCTGGGCCCTGGGCAGGTGAGGGGACTCAAGTGAGTGGGTGGGTTAGCTCAGGACTCTGGGGAAGGACACGCCCCAAGGAGTCTGTCCTGTCAGCCGTGAGCATTTACGATGCCATCCTCAATGCACAAGAGAGCCACTGTGGCCTTGTGTGGTTTGAGAGTGGCTTGACTGCAGGGTCTCTAGCACTGCTGTGAGCCTCTGAGCCACCCCTGCTGAGCTGCCCTCCAGGGTGGGGGACTGGGCGAGGGGCTGGCCTGGATGCCAGGGGCTACTGAGTGAGCGCTGCCCACAGCCCTGCAGGACCTGGAGCCCCAGCAGCTGCTGCTCTTCGTCCAGTCCTTCGGCATCCCCGTGTCGAGCATGAGCAAACTCCTCCAGTACCTGGACCAGGCAGTGGCCCATGACCCCCAGACCCTGGAGCAGAACATCATGGACAAGAGTGAGCACACACTATTGGCCGTGCCAGTCTGACCATGTGGCCCAAGGCCCGCTAGCCCCTCTGGGGCCTGGGTGAGGGCAGCTGAGGGGGTTGAGCTACAGGTACTGAAGGTGGGGCATGGAAAGCCCAGGCCTGGCCCCAGCCCCAGAACTAGGGCCCCTTTGGGAATTGTCTAGAGGCCCAGGAGATCGTGGGGCTCTGGATGCTGCTGATGCTGCCTCTCTGGGGATCCTGTCGCTCATTTCCTATAGCCTCAGGAAGTTCCCGGGACTCTTCTGGGCACGTATCAGGCTTCCCAGGCCAGCTTCCTGGGGAAGAGGTGCTGCCATCCACGTGCAGCTGTGATTGTGACCGGCTGCTGTCTTGCAGATTACATGGCCCACCTGGTCGAGGTGCAGCACGAGAGAGGCGCATCCGGAGGCCAGACCTTCCACTCCCTGCTCACAGCTTCCCTGCCCCCCCGGCGAGGTACCGCCCCCTCCCAGCCCCAGCATCATGGCCCTGGCTTTTGGCCACACAGACCCCTCAGCTGCTTCCCTGATCGGCACCTGCCTGTGGCCAGCTTGAGGCCCCTGTTTCGGGTCTGTCCTCCCTGTAGACCTGGTCAGGGCCCTAGGTTCAAGGGAGCGCTGGCCCTCTGTGGGGATGGGAGCCAGGTCTTCTCTCTGGTGATGTCCTTGAAGGGGACTGTACTCATTCTCAGGGCTGCCCTGCTAGAGCTGGCCAGAGTTTCCATCCCGTGGTGATATCCCTTTCTCTAGACAGTACAGAGGCACCGAAACCGAAGAGTAGCCCAGAGCACCCTGCAGGCCAAGGCAGGACTCGGGCAGGGACCCAGGTCCGAGTGCTGGGTCCCGAAGACGACTTGGCCAGCATATTACTGCAGGTACTGGCGCTGCTGCGATGAGTGCTGCTCACGTGCGTCCTCACCCCCAGGCGCAGGCCTGCATGTGCGGGCTGGCATCCTGCTCTGCCTGCTTCTGGAGCCCTTGCACGCCCCTCTGTGCAGCCCTCTGGGTTGTTTGGTACTGGGGATCAAACTCGGGACCTTGTGCTTGCAAGGCAGGCAGTGGCACCCCTGAGCTAAATCCCCGACCCCAGCTCTGTTTTCCACCTGCAGAGGCCGGGATGTATAGGGTTCACCTGAAGGCCCAGCAGCACTGGTGCCTGTCCCATGCATGCCCCGCCCATGTCATGCCTCCCTGATCTCGAGCCTTTGTAGGCACTGGACAGGCTCGAGGGTTAGCTCCCGGGGGTGTTAGGTCCATTGCTGCTCCACAACACAGGCTTCAAGGGCCCTGGGCCCCTCCGTCCCCACGGTTGGGGCCACAACAGCAGGGATCTAAGGAGGGCTGCTCCCCATCCTGACACCCACCCTGCCCTTCCAGATCTTCCCGCTGAGCCCTGATCCTCGCTGGCAGAGCTCCAGCCCCCGGCCCCTCGCCCTCGCACTGCAGCAGGCCCTGGGCCAGGAGCTGGCCCGAGTCCGCCAGGGCAACCCTGAGGTGGCAGGCATCACAGTGCGCCTCCTGCAGGCTATGGCCACCCTGCTGGGCTCCACACATGGCGGGGCCCTGGCCATGGCCATGCACCGCAGCCACTTCCTCTCCTGCCCATTGGTGCGCCAGCTCTGCCAGTACCAGGTACCTGCACAGAGGGAGCGGGGGGGACATGGCTTCTGTGTTCCCGGGCAAGAGGGAGAGGTCTGCACTGGCCCCGGTTTTCCGGGGGTGTGGGCCTTGGTTTTCTTTCCCAAGTGCTGAAGCCACCTATGTCAGGGCAGCAGGCAGGGCCCCCTCTCCTTATAGTAGGTGATGGACCCACACCCTGGGGCCTGGCCCTGGCTCGGGCCTTGCGGGGTCGGCCTTGTTTTCTGCCTTGTGAGTGCACCTTGTTACCTGTGTTGCTGTGTACATCTGTGCTTGTTTTATTCTCCTCCTGAAGCACATAGAAGTAAATTGCCAGCCATGCAGGATTATGCCTGTAATCCCACATACTTGAGAAGCTGACACCAGAGGGTTGCAAGCTCATGGACAGGCTGGGCAACCTAGCAAAATGTTGCCTCAAAATAAAAAAGAGTAAAAAGAGAGACCAAGGATGTAGCTCTGTTGTCCCTGGGATTAGTCTTTGGTACTGAAAAAAAAGTAAGTTACCATCAGAGCACCTCAGACTTAAAGGCCCTGCCAGCATGTCCTGGGATTTGCTACTGTGAGGGCAGATGAAATGGTGTTGGACCACTGCAGGGGCCTGTCGCCCCTTAGGGCCCCATCCTGTCCCACCCATGCAGGGCTATTGCTGTCCCTGCCCAGTGTAGCCTACGTGTTGCCTTTTGTCCCCGCAGCGCTGTGTGCCCCAGGATACTGGCTTCTCCTCACTCTTCCTCAAAGTGCTGATGCAGACCTTGCAGTGGCTGGACAGCCCTACCGTGCAGGAGGGGCCCCTGCAGGCCCAGCTCAAACTGTTCGCCACCCAGTACTCGGCAAGACACAGGATCAGTGATGGTGAGGTTGGCGGCGGCAGCTGGGGTCGGCCACCAGAGCTGGTATGCTGCAGGGGCCAAGCGGCTGGGGAGAGACCTGGGCTTCTACAGGAAGGGTGGTGCCTGCGCAGACAGAAGGGCATCTGTGGGGCACTGGGAGGGCAGGGTAGAGCCCATGAGGAAAGGTCACACTGGCTCTCCCGCAGTGCGCAGCGGGCTCCTGCACCTGGCAGAGGCCCTGGGCTTTCATCATGACCTGGAGGTCATCAGCTCCACTGTGCGGGCCGTCATCGCCACCCTGAAGTCTAGGGAGAGGCACAGCGTGGAGCCAGAGCTCATCAGCAAAGGTACCAGCCTGCCAGGCTCAGGCCCAGGCTGCCACCGCTCTGCCTTGGGACAAGCTCCCCTCATGGGCCGTGGGGTAAGCAGTGACCATTCAGTGCCCACACATGTCCCCTCCCAGGCATGGGACCTCTTCAGAACGAGAGTGTCCTTGTTGTAGGGAGCACCCCTCACCCTGGCCCATCTTGCATACGCTCAGCATGCCTAGCCTTGGCTGCCCCGTACTCGGCGGTCTCAGCCCAGGGTGACACGGGACATCCCCTGTCCCTCAGTCCTCCGGGGCCTGATTGAGGTGAGGTCCCCCCACCTGGAGGAGCTGCTAACAGCGCTCTTCTCGGCCACCGCGGATGCCGCCTGCCCAAGCCTGGCCTCCAGGCCCATTGTGGTGGTGAGCTCCCTGCTGCTGCAGGAGAAGGAGGAGCCCCCCGCCCCAGGGAGGCAGGATGGTGACAGCGGCAGCAGGTGAGCATGAGCTGAGGATGCCCAAGGGGGTGGCCCTGGCAGATCCTTCCCTGACGCTCTCTCCCCGTAGCCTGGAGGCCATGCGGCTGGGACCCTTGTCGGGGCTACTTGTGGACTGGCTGGAGATGCTGGACCCCGAGGTGGTCAGCAGCTGCCCTGACCTGCAGCGGCGACTGCTCTTCTCTCGGAGGAAGGTGACAGAGACCAGCCCCAAGGGCAGATTGCATTCTGGGGTTCCTGACCTTCCTGGGGATTGCTGTTGGTGTGGGATGATGCCCACGAGGGCCCCCATAGGAGGGAAGGGTCAGTCCGTGTGGGTGGGCTGGGACTGCCTTGTAAACTGAGGGCCAGTGGGCCTGGGGCAGCCCAGAGGAGAGCAGAGGCCGTGTGGCACCAGAAGGGGGCCAGGCAGAGGACTCCTCAGTGTCAGGGCCAGCAGCCTCTCAGAGTGCGAACAGCAGCGTCCAGGGCAGGTGGACAGGGTCTGGGGCACCTCTACCCTGGTGCCACCCTGGGCTGCAGAGGTGAGGCCGTGGTTGGATGCCACCCACCAAGTATGCCACGGTGAGCGCTGCAGCCAGCCAGCAGGTTGCTGGGGCAGGAGCAGCCGCCTCCATCAGGTCGTTCTGCCCCATCTCCCCACTGTGCAAGCAGCTGGCTCGCTTCCCCCTCCCTGGGCTGCCCACTGTCCTTATCCTGGTCTCGGCACGGGTGAGGCTCAGGGCTCCTTCCCAGCCTTGAGTCCTACTAGTATCAGCCTCAAGCATTTGCTTCATGGGTGGTTGCCCAGAAGTCATCAGCTGACCTGGCTAAGCAGGGCCGGCCAGTCCCTCGGCCCAGTTGGGATCATCCCAGCTTCTCTCCTTTCCCAGGGCAAAGGCCACGCGGGTGCCCAGGTGCCATCTTTCCGCCCCTATCTGCTGGCCCTCCTCACGCACCAGTCCAGCTGGGCCACACTGCATCAGTGCATCCGCGTCCTGCTGGGCCAGAGCCGGGAACAGAGGTGAGGCCCCCTCGCCTGGGCCTCGCACCCCACGGGCACTGCCCCATGGCTGCAGGGCTCGGGCCCCTGCTCTGGGAGCTGTCAGATCTGTTCAGGCAGCTGTATCCACCACCCGCTCACTGGTTCTGGTAGATGTGTGTAAACGATCCCCACAGTGGGGTCACAGGGCATCTGACAATCACCCCATGCTCAGTGCTGGATGCTTGTACCCTCACTGCAGGGCAGCACTTCCTCGGGGGTCCAGGGTGCCCATGCTGCCCCAGGCCACCACATTCACCCCCTATAGGGCACAGGCACCCTCAGCAAGAGGGCAGACAGCCTGTCTCCCCAACTCTTGTCCTTGGACCGTGGTCTCTGACTGTCCACACTGTGCTTCGGATGCCAGAGGAGGTGTTCCCAAGGTGTGGCACTGCATGGGGCCAAGACCCCCTCTGCGCAGCCATCCCTGGCTCCGACAAGCACAACACGTGCATTTGCTCCACAGTGAGAGTTGGGCACCCAGCTCATGGCCACTGACATGAGTCAGGGAGCCCCACTTCCTCTGCCAGTGGCCCTGAGACTAGGGCCCCTTCAAAGGCTGCGGGCTTCTCCCCAGGGGCCTCCATGCTCCCTGGGCTTAGCCAGAATGCCTGCTTCCTCCCAGGTTTGACCCCTCTGCCTCCCTGGACTTCCTCTGGGCCTGCATTCATGTTCCAAGGATCTGGCAGGGAAGGGACCAGCGCACCCCACAGGCAGGTCTTGATAGGGAGTTCAGGGGTAGCCCAGCCTACAGGGTGGCACATCCAGGGGCTGACTAGTGGGCTCCTGGTTTGCAGAAGCGGCGGGAAGAACTGGTGCTCCGTGTCCAGGCTTCAGAGCTCATCAGCCTGGTGGAGCTGATCCTGGCCGAGGCAGAGACCAGGAGCCAGGATGGGGACACAGCTGCCTGCACCCTCATTCAGGCCCGGCTGCCCTTGCTGCTTAGCTGCTGCCGTGGCAATGACAAAAATGTCAGAAAAGTGACGGAGTACCTGACCGGCTGCATCCAGCAGTGGGGGGACAGGTACATGAGGCCCTCCCGTCCCCTTGTGATGTGACAGCACTGCCTGAGTTTGGGAGTTAGTCAATGCTCGGGCCCAGTTTCTATCAGCATTCCTGGGCCCTGAGCCATTCTGGCTTCATCAGCATGCCCAGCCCCTACCCCTTCCAGGCTCTAGTTGGCCCGCCCCGCCCCTGCCCCATCCATCCAGCACCCCTCTGTTCTCTTGCAGTGTGCTGGCCAGGCGGTGCCGGGACCTGCTTCTGCAGCTCTACCTGCAGCGGCCAGAGCTCCGGGTGTCAGTGCCTGAGGTCCTGCCGCTTAGTGAAGGGGCCACCGGCAGCAGCGTCTGCAAGGTGAGATGATGGCACCTCCTGCCCATGACCCTGTGGAATGGCTATGACCAGGATAGTGGGTAGGGGCTGTCAGCCTAGCACGCCAGCTTCCCCAGAAAGCCTGACCCGTGAGGAATCCTGAGGCTCTGCCTTGAAATGGAATCCCAAACTGGGAAGTGGAGGGTAGTGCCCCTAGTGCCCCTGAAAGGGTGGCCCTGTCTCCCTCCTCACCTAACCTCTTGTCTTGTTCATGGAGCTCCTCCCAGCTGTGGCATGGTGTCTGTTTGCCCCTTGCCTGCTTTCCTCAGGTGTGGGTGATGGAAGGATGCACGTTTGTGTGGCATGTGATGCACATACGACCTATGAGGCCACCATCCAGGTGGGGCAGTGCTGTCACCACAGACACATCCTCCCTCTGCCCTTTCCCACCAGCGTGGCCCCGGCCTCATGTCTAGAGCTGTGCGTGCGTGCTCTTGGGGTCGGCGTTCTCTGGGATAAGTCCAGGAGGACTTGCGTGTGTAGCCCGTTTCTTCCCATTGCTGAGTGGTGTCTGCCACAGGCATAGACTGTTTATCTGTCTCCGGCCCCTGCCGAGGGCTGTTTGGGATGTTCCCGCTTGGGGCTGTGAGGGCCTCTAGCAGGTTCCTGGAAGGCTCTCTCAAGCCCTGCTTGACGCCTCCCCTCCTCTTAGCTGGACGGGCTCATTCACCGCTTCATCACTCTCCTCGCCGACACCAGTGACTCCCGGTCCTCTGAGAGCCGAGTGGCAGATGCCAACATGGCCTGCCGGAAGCTGGCTGTGGCCCACCCAATCCTGCTGCTTAGGTACTGTGGCCCATCCACGTGAATGAAGCCCAAAAGGGAGGCACCTGGGGTATGACCACGCCTGGGGAGCTTCCACAGGCAGAACACAGCCCTTGCCCTCAGCATTCCCAAGCTGGAACAGGTCCTCTGGCAGTGTCCCATGAGCCCTGGCTGCTGTAGCTGCCGCAGGAGCCCTCAGCCTGTGGCTGAGCCTCCGGAGGAGCCAGGTGGATTCCAGAAAAGCAGATCAGGTGGACTGCCCCCAGTAGACTTGGAGTTGGTGGCTGGTGCAGGCCCAGGCCCCCAGCATCCCTGGAGCCCAGGGTTGGTGCAAGACTAGGCTCTGCTGCCCAAAGCTGCTCCCTGGACAGGGACGGAGTCGCCCAGAGTCTGTAGGACACAGACCTGGCCCTTGCAGCTAGTGGCCTTGGTGTGCTCCCTCTGGCTGAGGCATGAGCCTGAGGAGGGGAGGCTGGTGTCTGCAGTCTCCAGGGGCGTGTGTTGGGATGCGGGGTCTCTGGTTGAGGCTGTTGAGGACACCTGGCCAGGAGTGACCACGGAGCCCTCTGCCCACAGGCACTTGCCCATGATGGCGGCACTGCTGCATGGCCGCACACACCTCAACTTCCAGGAGTTCCGGCAGCAAGGCCACCTGACCTTCTTCCTGCATGTGCTGGGGCTGCTGGGCCTGCTGCAGCCGCACATCTTCCAGAGTGCACACCAGGGGGCGCTGTGGGACTGCCTGCGCTCCTTCGTACGCCTGCTCCTGGTGGGTCCTGACACCCTCAAATCCTCGTCTCAGCTCCTCTGTACCCTGCTCCCGTGGCCTGGGCCAGGCCCGCGCTTTCTGAACTAGGACCCCTGGGAGCCCTCACTGTCTGCTTCCTCCTGCTCTGGGGACCAGCTCTTACCCTGAGAGGCCCTCCCCAGCCTCCTCATTCCTGGGTGGCCCCAAGTCTGAGTACTCAAGGCGCTGAGCTTGCCGGTGCTCAGCGTGCTGCGTGTTGTTTGCTGTTTTGTCACGTGCCCCATGTGTGTGCGGTGACCAGCCTGCCCCCTTCAGATCTGTTGCACATCATGTGGTCAGCAGGGTGGCTCTGTCCAGGGGTCCAGGGGAGCAGGGGAGGAGGGCCGCGGGGCTCTGAGCACTTTGCCTCTGCAGAACTACCGGAAGTCCTCCCGCCACCTGGCTCCCTTCATCAGCAAGTTCGTGCAGTTCATCCACAAGTACCTCACCTGCAGCGGCCCGACAGCCGTCTCCTTCCTGCAGAAGCACGCAGATCCCTTGCAGTGAGTGCCGTGCGCTCAGGAGGCGTGTTGGGCCGGGGACATGGCAGCTGAGGATGCGTCTGGGGTGGCTGTCTGCGACAGCGAGGCACCGCTCCACAGCTTACAGCTCCCCACCTCAGTCCGCACAGGGCCTCCTCCCGTCTGCCTGGCCCTCCTCCTGGGGCCCTGGCCTCACTCTGCAGGGCTGCCTTCCCTCACTGTCCCCCAGCCCCACCTGCCAGTGTCTCCCCCAGGTAAAGCCAGCCTTCTCTCCCACAGCGACCTTTCCTCCGACAACAGTGACCTGGTGATGCTGAAGTCCCTCCTGGCGGGGCTCAGCCTTCCCAGCCGGGACGGCAGAGCTGGCGGCAGCCTGGACGAGGAGGGTGAGGGTGAGTGCCAGCCGGGATCTCGGTGGGCTGTGAGGAGGCCCTGTTGGGTCTGGCGGCCCCCGGCAGCATGGCTGGCCCTCAGCCATCCTAGGTGTCCCGATAGGGCTGCCGTGAGCCCTGGTACCTCACTGTTTTCCGTGGCTGGTGCCATGGCCAGCCTGACGGAGCGGCACCCCTGCCCCAGGGACCTTGTTGGATCCCATTGCCTACTGTCCCTCTGGAAGCCTCCCTGGCCACGCTGGGCAGGGCTTGTCCTGGGCTCTCCCTCATACCCCATGGCAGTGCTCCTGTGCTGTTACGGTCCCAGATGGGTGGTGGATGGGGTTGGGCAGCGGAAGGGAGCAAGAGGAGCCGTGTCTCCAGAGATGCCCCATGGCCCTGCCACACTTGCAGGGGACCTGCTGCCTGCTCCTGGGGAGGAGCCTTGTTTTCGTGGCGCTCCTGGGCAAGGCTGGCCTCAGTGCCTCTGCAGCACTCACTGACCAACCTCTTCCAGATGAGCATTCAGCCAGCTCCCTGCCACTGGTTAGCGTCTCCCTGTCCACCCCCCTGACCGCGGCTGACATGGCCCCGCACATGAAGAGGCTATCCCGGGGCCAGACCGTTGAGGGTAAGTGGGGCTGGCTCCCCTGTGCCACCCACGTTGGTGCCCTGGGCCCTAGGTGCCCCTAGATGCCCTGGGCTCCTCGCCTCACTCTTCATGGGGCTGCTCAGCTTGCTGGTTTGGTTGGGGTGTGGGGCTCCAGATAGAGACTGCTGGGTGCCCCAGAGTGTCGGGGGTAGTCCGGGAAGGAGGCCTGGCCGGCACACTGAGGTGAGGTATGTGTGCTGGAACATTGGGTGCCACTGGGAGCCCCGGATGTGGGGTGGCCTGCTGCACTTCCCTAGAGACCAGCACATGGGGGCCAGCTGGCTCTGAGGGTGCTGCCAGGGAGGGCAGCTGCAGAGTGTGGAGAGCTTCCCAGGGCCTTGTGGTGCTTGGGTTGTCCAGGGTGATTGCGGAGCAGGCAGAAGGTCCTCTCTGGCTTCATGGCTCCCCTCTTCAGCCTGGCCCTGCCCTCTGTGTCTCTCTTAGACCTGCTAGAGGCCCTGAGTGACATAGATGAGATGTCCCGGCGGAGACCTGAGATCCTGGGCTTCTTCTCCGTGAGTGGCTGGAGGCTGGGCTGGGAGGAACCCGGGAAGGCCTTCTGAGGTAGCTGTGGCCCACTCTCTGTTGCTGTTTGAGCCCTTGCTGGCCGGCCTCGGGGCTGGGCCTGCCCCACATGTCATGGCACAGGTGGCCGGGCTGGACCTGCCGCCCTGCAGGGGTGGCCACCACGGGGGTGAGGTGAGACCTCAACCCGGTGGTCCAGGTACCCTCACCTCACCCCTGATAGACCAACCTACAGCGGCTGATGAGCTCGGCCGAAGAGTCCTGCCGCAACCTGGCCTTCAGCCTGGCGCTGCGCTCCATCCAGAACAGCCCCAGGTGAGTCCCCGGTGTCCCCGACACTGCTGCAGAGTGAGCTGCCACCCAGGGCCCAGGTTGGCTGGACCAGGCTTCCTGGCAGCTCACCGCACCCTTCCCAGCAGGGCCTGGCTGTGGTGCCCCCTAGGATCTCGGGCATGGTGGGCAGGACCCACTCTGCATCTCTTATAGCATTGCGGCTGACTTCCTGCCCACCTTCATGTACTGCCTGGGCAGCCGTGACTTCGAGGTGGTGCAGACGGCCCTCAGGAACCTGCCCGAGTACACGCTGCTCTGCCAAGGTGAGCCTTCCCCATGCCCGCTGGGAAACCCTGTCCCTCCCCTCCCCTTGCTGCCTGACCATGTCGCCCACAGAGCACGCGGCCGTGTTGCTGCACCGAGCCTTCCTGGTGGGCATGTACGGCCAGGTGGACACCAGCACCCAGATCTCCGAGGCCCTGAAGATCCTGCACATGGAGGCTGTGATGTGACCTGCGATGGCCGACTGCCCTTGGCCTCCATGCCATGGTGGGCTCATCAGGAGGGCCCCAAGGATGGGCAGGGCTGGGAGCAGCTCTCCTGGACTAGCAGCTGGCACAGGGGGCTGTCCAAGGCCACCCCACCTTCTGGTCATGGCCCTGCCACAGAGCCATGGGAGGCACGGCCCAGCGTGAGGAGAGGCTGGCATCCCAGAGAGGCTGGCAGGGCTGGCGTTGAATGAAACATTCTGAATCTCTTAGTGCTGATGTCCTGTGTCCTGTGTTGCCCTGGCTGCCGCCAGCCTGGGCCCTGCACATTGTTCTGCATGGCTGAGACACCAGGGAGTTGAGTGGGGTGCTGGGAGATGGGGGACCAGTCTGTTCCCTAGGGTCCACACCACCACTTCCTGTGACATGACCTCAGCTCTGCCTGGCCCAGACTTCCTTGCCCAAAGGATCAACCTGGGCAGCAAACTGCACCAAGGCACAGGGCCACGTTGGGGCTGAGCAGGCTGAGCAGGCTGAGCAGTCCCTTCTCTCTCTCAAAAGGACAGGTCTGAGATCTTCACCTGTCTGCTTGGGCTCCAGGAGCCAAGTCCTAGGACCTGGCACTTTAGCAACCCAAGTGACCAGTAACCCTGGCCTGGCACCCTTCAGTCTCAGCAGTGAGCCCAGCAGCCCCCTGGAGGGAAGCAGCCAGCCTGGGGGCTGGCAGGCAGGGTTGGACACTGCCCGGCCCTGCACCTCTTGCCCTCTCGGGTCACATGGCCATGCACCCGTGTCGCAGGGTTACAGCTGGGTGTTTCTCCCCGTTAGGATTGAAGCCGCCTGTGCTCTCCATCCTCATGTCAGTACAGAGGGACAACCCCACCCTGAGGCTCCAGTGGCACTGATGACAGCTCTTCAGGCAGGATCCACACTGGCTGCCCTGGTCTTGCTCAGCTATGCCTTCAGAGGCCACCAGGGGGCACTGTGGCTGAGATAACCAGCCCAGCCCTTTCCCAAGCCCCAGTGGCCTTGTGCCTGGGTGCTGGAGATGCCACGGTCTCTGAGATGATCTCAGGCAGGCAGCAGCAGGGCCCTGCAGCCCTAGGACCGCAGGCCTGCCTTGGCCAGCCTGCCCACGTCCACGCCCATCCTGATACGGCCTGAGAATTTGGGTGTCTTCACTATGCCGGCTCCTGGGGCCTGGGGGTTGCTCTGGAAGTGACTTGGAGGCCCAAGTTGGCCAGGGAGTGAGGGGCAGAACTGCCCTCAGGTGGCCGGAGGCCCTGAGTGGCCTCCACCCTCATTGCCCAGGGCTGCCCTGCTCCACCCACACCCTCTGTGCCCCAGAGCCGGCCCTGGCACCTGCCCTGATGTAGAACTGGTCTTCATCTCAAGGTGGGGACAGCAGTGACTACTCCCCACGGCCTGGCCCGCCATTCCCCACTCGCCTCACGAGTCCCGGGACCCCTTCCCATGCACTTGTCTTTAGCTCTCCCGGCCTCCATACTCCGTGTCCGGTGCCTCGCAGACTTGCCTCCCTGAAGTTTGGAAAGGCGGGATGTGGTGGTAGGGAAGGGTCAGGGCTGGAGCCTGCGTAGCTCCTCTCACCACAGGTCTCACAAGGGAAGAGCAGATTCCGGGATCCTGGACCCCTGGCACCTGGGCCTTGCCTCTCTTAAGAGCCGGTTCATGCAGCAGAAGGGGCAAGGGCTAGGGACAGAAGGCCAGGGCCTGTGGATGCCAAGCTTTGCAACCTGGCTGGCTTGAAGTAGGTGCTGGGGTGTTTGCAGTTGCTACAAGCACTGGACAAGCCCGTCATGGCACTGTGTCTCTCACACACAGGGAAACTGACTTAGGAAGCCACATCACTGGCTGGAGAGGGACAGGGCTGTCTGGTGAGGGGTAATGAATCCACACACAGTGGGACCAGCCCAGCACCTGGTGGCTTGTGCCAGGGAAGGGGCTGTTGCAGCTGGGCAGATGCTGGATCCCCCAGTCCTCCAGTGTGTGCATGGTGAAGTTGTCATCCACTCGTGGAGGCTGTGTCTGCAGAGCCCGAGTGCTCCTCAGCATTCCTGGTTACTTGGCTTTAAGACAACCTCGGCTCAGCTTGGAGTGTGGGGCCTGCCCTGCTGCCACCCAGGCTTCAGCCCAGTGCCTGGGCTGCCTTCCCCACCTGAATCTAGGCCCTTTGTTGCACAGACCAGAGCATGGCTCTGTGGAGGCCCAAAATGCACCAGGGGTGCCACCCAGGCAGAACTTTGCAGCTCGCATTGCTTCTGCAGCTCAGCACCCCAGCCATGTTGCCTCTGAAACCTAAACCCTGTCCTTTCTCCCACAGCACCTCCGGGAAAGCTTTCTGCAGGCCTCCATCCCATCCCATGCTCCCCTGGGGCTCAGGGTCCTGAGTTGTTACTGCTTGTCTCATAGCTCCAGGTGCACTGGTGGGGGCTCCAACCACAGCCTGCCGATAGCCATCTGTACGCTCTGCTACCACAGGCCTGGAACTGGGCCCTCCGTGGAGACTGCTGTGGCCCCCAGACATGGGGAGGGAACGGGGCTGGCAGGCATGAGCCCAAGGGCATGCATGTCTCAGCTTCTGCAGCTCCTGAGTGTGGTCCAGCACTGAGGAGCTACAGGTGGCCACGCTCAGAGGCTCTCGATTTGTCCAGCCTAAAGAGGGCCTGAGCAAGAGTGGGTGGGGAGACCCAACCCTAGGGGAGGAGGCCTGGATGGACTTGGAATCCTCGCCCAGGGGGCTGGCAGGGCCCTGCAAGAGCAGAGGTGTGGCAGCGGCTCGGTGCTGGTGGGAACACACGGCAGGTGCACAGTGGGAGGAGGCACTGAGCCTTGGCGCATCCATGGCCCAGCTTCCCTGTCTGACTGCCCCAGGTCCTCTCCACCTCCAGCCCCACAGACACCCCTGGGGGGGGGTGTTACTTTGTGGCCTTTGATATGGAACATGAAGGCCCAGATCTGTGTAAGGAGCTCCCTGCCCAGGAGACAGCAGAGCCCAGCAGGCAGGTGGGGGCTCTCAGGGTCCTGACAGCACCCCCCAGTCTCCATTCTGCCTAGACTGGGCACGGAGTCACAGGGCGGGTTCCAAGCCCACCATTCCCCATGGCCTCTGGCCCTGCCTGGCTCCTCCCTGAGGGTGCATAGGGTGGGGCCAAGCCAAGTGGTGACAAGCACACCAAGGGCTTGGGTTTCACTCTCAGTCTGGGTAGGGACTGACTGCCCCACCTCCTCCATAGAGGTCTCCTTGCACCCTGGAGGCTGGTGGGTCAGATGAGGGCAGGAGGCCAGATGTGCCCAAGGTCACCTCCCAGGTGGATCATTTCAGGTATCCTTATGGGGCTACGTGTGGCAGGAGACCTCCTGGGACTTCAGCCCTTTTCTCTTGGGAAGTGACCAGGAAGCCCTGGGGCGCACAGGCTGACCAAGCTAGAAGACCTAGTTTCTCCCCAAGTCCCTCCCCAGTCCCGACGCAAAAGGTCACCCTGCCAGCATCGGGCCCAGCCAGGTTCACAGGGCCCCAGAGATTAGATCTCAAAAGGCCAGTATCTGGGCACTGGAGATGCCACCTCTACCTAGGAAGTAGGAACAGCCATTAGAAGACAGAGGTGTAGTGAGGGGTTCTTTGGGGTTAGTAGGAGTTCTCCAGCTAGGTCCTTCAGCTCACTGACTTGCAGGGGGCGGGGCACAGAACTCCAGTTGGTGTCACCTGGGTGGTGGGTAGTGAGCTCACAACCCTGGCTTTTCTGCCTGGCTCCCATCTAGAGTTGGGCCTGGAGAGGACTGTGACCAGGCAGAGACCCAGGCCAGAGAGGAGAGGGAGTCAGGGAGGCACGGCTCCCCCGAAGAGGAAGCTGCCCTGGCAAGGTTCGGCCCTGGCCACAAGAAGAGGGCAGTCAGTGGGATGCGCTGCAGAGTCCAGGCCCACTGGTCACCACTGCTCTGTGCCTCCATGCAGGCTGGAGCTGGGTCCCTTCAGCCCCTTGGCCCTTGGCCCCTCTGCAGCCCAGGAGGGGTGCTGGAAACCCAGGGCATGGAGTCTCACCTTGAGTGCAAAGCCTGTGTCTTCAGGAGCTTCAGGGACACTGGTCAGAGCTGGGCTACCAAAGACAGGCCACAGCGCTCCAGCCTGCTCACCGCTTCCTGCCTTTGCCTCGGGCACCCCACCTCCCAAGCCTGTTTCTACACCTGTACAATGGGCATCAAAATAATACTGGAGGGCCAGGGATTTAGCTCAGTGGTTCCACCACCTGCCTTGCAAGCACAAGGTCCCAAGTTTGATCCCCGGTACCAAAAAAAATAATAATAATACTGGAGCCTCATGTGCTCTCGGGTTATTGACCAGAGAGGTACTGTGATCTGGCCAAGGACACACAGCAATCAGAGCAGGCTAGGGTGACCCCTCCTTGGCACTGCCCGCTCTGTTTGAGGAAGCAGGGTGGGCCGGCCCCATTACAAGGGTCCCTATAAGATGGTGTGAGGAGGATTAATAATGTATTTATAACACATCGTTGTGGTAGCTGAAAATGATCTATAAATGTGCGGTAAATGTTTTATAATGTTTTTGTAACCCGTTATAAATGATAAATGGTAGACTATAGATGCCGGATCAAATATTTATAACGCATTGTGCACGACGCCGGGCTGCTACAGTTCAGGAAAGCCATTAATAATAAAGTGGATGGAAATGTAAAAGTTACGGACGTGCCCAGCAAAGCCATTTATAATGAAATGTGAAATTTGGCTGGTGGAAGCACTGGCGGCTGCGGCCACAGCCTGGCCAGCGTCTCCTGGAGGCCGAGAGGAGCAGTCGTGAATTATTTGTGAGCCGTGGACGAGAAGGCATGCTGCCACTGTGCGCTGCAGAAATAACACTATTAATATTTCCACGGCAGCATGCATTATGCATTGGGCCTAATTAATTAATGGGTGGCCCTTAAAATGGGGTGTCGTGGCTTCTGGCTCCCTGGGGCCAAAGGGATATTTTGATGCCCAGGACCCTTGAGTGGGCTGTTTGCTGCCCTGTGGCCTCGGGGACATCCCTTGGACACTCCTCAGTGAGGTCCCCCTGACCATTGCCACCTACAAGGATCCTGTGACCCAGTGAGCCTGGGAACTGCCCCCTGGGGGAGACGCCTGCTCATCAAGAAATAAAAGCTCCACCCAGAGTGGTGGTGCACACCTGTAATCCCACCACTTGGGAGGCTGAGGCAGGAGGACTGCTGTCAAGTTCCAGGCCAATCTGGGGTACATAGTGAGACCTTGTCTAGAAAAAAAAAAGAAGGCTCTGAGAAGTCTCTCAGGAAATGCAACTGATTGGCCATCCCCTCTGTCCTACCATCCGGGTCTGTCCCCCTTCTGTGGTGGTACATCAGCCCCCTAAAGCCTGTTATTAGGGGTTGAAGCCCCCAGTGGCGGGGGGGGGGGCTCCATAAGCCCCGCCCACCCAGAGACGCAGTCCTGCTGGGGAGCCCTGGCCCAGCCAGGCAGCCTCCAGGAGCTCAGTGGAGACCAGGTCGGGCTCGCCTTTGGAGGAAATGAGCGATGCATCCGGCCCTGTCCCTCCTGGGGTCCAGCTCTGTCCTCACCCCAATGGGCTGAGACCCCTTCTGCCCAGGAAGGCCCTTTAACCTGGTCCAACACGAGTGAAGCAGAAAGTGGGGAATCTGGGGCTGTCAGGGCTGGAAATCCTGCCCCAGTCAGGCTGGACCAACCGTCCTAGCCTCTGCCCTCCCTGGGCTGGCTCCTGCCCTCCTGGGAGTCTCAGGTTCTGCAGCCAGAACATGGGGGAAGGCGTGAGGAGGCCGACAGCAGGGCTCGCCCTCTCCCTTCTGCACCCCAGTGACAGCTGTGTGACCGGTCCCTGGCAGCAGAAGAGAAAGTCCAGAACCAGAACCGTGTCCCAGACACTGTCTGCCACCCGGCTGCAGCCCTATGTGCAGGAGGTGAGTCTCAGCACGTGCTCCCTGAGCACATATGTGTGCCGGGGACATCAGAGGGTGAACACAGAAGGAGGGAAGGGTGGGACGCTGGGGGCAGCGAGGACAGGCCTGCGGGGATGCTTGCAGCAGTATGGGGTCAGGTCAGGGGACACCTGAGAGGAGAGATCTCCAGGTGAGAAAGCAGCATGGACAGAGGTCCTGCAGCAGGAAGCTGAGGAAGGGAAAAGTGGGAAAGCCTTGCTCTGCTCCTGAGGGAGGTGGAGTGGGGGCCTCATGGCACCCCTGGTGGACTCGGGTTGAGAATGAGCTGTGGGCTCTGGGGGGAGGCGGGGGCAGCCTGGAAGGCCCTGGGAAGTCTGGGCTAGAGAGGACAGCTGACCTGGATGGCTCTGGAGGCCACCTCTAGGGAAGCAAGGTGGCAGGGGCGCAGGGACAGCTGTGAAGGGCCATGTACGGGTGTGGGGACTGGGAGTTCAGGTGTTGAACCTGAGGGGCCCAGAGGGAGGGAGGAGTCCACTCGGGAGAGGCCAGGAATGGACATGAGGGGCAGGTCTGCAACGTGAGCTCAGTCTCACAGGCTGAAGATTCGAAGAGAGCATCAGGGCGGGGACGGTGGCCTGGGTTGTGGGAGGGGGTGACCTCGGACAGGAGGTGACCAGGACCAGGACAGAGGGGCTGCGGACAAGCAGCCGCTCTGGGAGTCCGGGGCACAGGGTGCAGGCACAGGGGAGGGGACAGCTTTCTGTCCTGTCCCATGGGAGACGCAGCCTGTGAGCTGGGGGCCGAGGAAGGGGGCACCATGCTCTCGGACAGGGACAGGCTCAGCGCCCAGCAAGGCTTCGGGACCGGGCGGAGCCTATGGCCATGCAGGGACAAGGGCACAGGGTGGGTGTGCCTGGGCGAGGGAGGTGGGTGTTGGCGGGGCACTTTTATGTGGCACCACTGCCCAGCGCAGGGCAAATCGGCAGAGGGGTCTGCTCCTTCTGACTGCGCCTCCCCTTGCTGTCCGAGAGCCTGGCTCTGCCCAGGTGCACCTGGCCACCCCTCCTCTGGCTCCTAGAGCCGCAGCTGTGAAAAGGGAGAAAAGGGAGGTCACCAACCAGGTGGCAGGCAAGTGTGGATGCTCAGGCACCTGCAGGGCATCGGGTGGACGGTGCTACGCTGGGCGAGCATGTGGGTGGGGAGAGGTTGCTTGGATTTTACACTGATGTCTCTGTGAGGCCTAACAAGCAGCCTAGTGCTGGCCTCACTTTCCTCTTCGGTGGTTTCTGGATTTTCTACAATAAATACAAACTATTTTCTTCATGGGAAAAATTCTGATCATTCTTCCCAGCAAGCTCAGTATGTTTCTTTCTGTGTTCCTCTCCCTGTGTTATCTGTCTCTCTCTGTCTCCGTCTCTCTGTGTCTCTCTCTTCTGTCCCTGTCTTTCTGTTTCTGACTCTGTCTCTATCTCTGTGTCTCTCTGTGTCTCTGTCTCTTTTGGTCTCAGGCGGATCATTAAATTCTCTAAAGGGCCTGAGGTCGAGAGTCTAGACCTCTGTCCCTGTCCCTGGAGCCTGGAGCTCACAGAGCTCTCCCCTTTCTCTCATCCTGGGTACCTTGTACTTATTAAGCACCTACTGTGTGCCTGGCCATGGGGAACCCTGGGGGAGGGGCTGTGGTCTCCCTGCAGGGGAGGAAACTGAGGGTGAGGTCAGGATATTCACACAGGAAGGAGGTGGGTTCCAGGTGGCTCCCCCACATCGGGCCACTCCTTGCGATGGAGGGATTGTCCCTGGGCTCTCAGGCCAGATGCAGGCCTGGTACAGGATGGGTGGAATACGGTTTCTCAGGGAGCCTGTCTGGCCCAGAATTGCAGCCAGTGCTCGGAAGGGTGTGGCCAAGCACACAGCCCCGGCCCCCTGGGGTGACTGGAGAATGTGGCCCTCACTAGCTGCCCTGCAAGACAGCCCATCCCCAGCTCCGCCCTGGTGGTCCTGGAGGCTCCAGGCCTAAGGTGGGAGGCTCTGTGTTTGGTGGTGGAGGTGCCGAGGGAGGAATCCACAAAGTGGGGGTTGGGTTAAGGTCAGATGGGGGTGTGGGGCCAGGGAGGAGCTGAGTGGGGCCCAAGGCTTCCGTGGCCCTGAGGGGCTTGGTGGGGCCGGAGGAGGCTGTGCCAAGCAGCCACTATTGGGCAGGGTGTGGCAGGGAGAGGCTGGCAGGTCACTGCACCAAGAGCCTGATAAGGAGCCTGAACTTTATTCAGAGGGGCCAGGTGCAGGGCTGCTCAGACTGGCTGCCAGATGGACACCAGGGACCCTAGTCCTGTGGGCTTCATGGAGGGTGGAAGTGGTGGGCAGGAGGCTGGGGTACACAGATTGGGGTGTCCTGGCTCTTGGCTTGGGGACCTGGAAGGACATGCCATGAAGGGTGCTGGGGGACTGCCATAAATGCCGCCTCCCAGGCACTGTTGGCAGGAAGTCCCTGTGGTGCCTGCCGGTGGAGTGGGTTCTCAGCGAAGCTGCCCTCTGGGAATCAGAACCCACCACACCCACCTGGCCTCTGGTCCACCCAGGTCCTCCCCCACCCCAACTTCCTGGTCCTTAGCAGCTTTTCCAGTTCTTCTAACTGCTGCCCAGAGGGTCAAGAAAACCTGGTTCCAGGACTAGCTCTGCTTAACTGGCTCTGCTCTGTGTCCCTTCTCTGGAGATTCTCGGCCTCCATCAGGCCAGTCATTCTGGCTGGGCAGGGGCAGGGCGAGGATCCCAGGGCACTGGGTAGCCCCTGTCCAGCAGCTGCTGGCCTACCCCTTGGGACAGGGAGCTCAGCACCCACACCGGTGCCCCGCTGCTGGGCAGCAGGCCATCCTCACACAGAGCCCAGGTATGGCTTGGGGCCAGAAGACCTGCGTCTGCTCTTCCCCTTGGGCAAGGGGAGCTGCCTTGGCTCTGTGCCAGGGGCTGATTTTGGGAAAACACCTTCTATCCTAGGGGCCCAGCCTAGACAAGCCCTGGGGCCCAGCAGTAGGATGGGTGAGCTCACATTTCTGTCAGTCCAGTCTGCAAGGCCACAGACAAGGTTACTGCAGAACTGGTGTGTGCGTGCGTGTGCGTGTGTGTGTGTGCGCGCGCGCGCGCCACGCCCTTAACTGCTGTGTGTGAACCTCAGAGTGGACACCTGGGAAGAAAGGGGACAGGAAGCCCCGGAAAGTCCCCAACCTGCTGGTCTCAGTTTCCTCTTTTGTCAATCCCTGAAGTGTCCAGGCGGGCAGAGGAGCAAGACCAGGAAGTGCTCTTAACACCCCGAAACAAGGTGCCCTCTGCTCCCCAGGAGCCCAAGTCTGCTCCAGTCTGTCTCCCCATTTGTCAGCAGGCATTTCCTCCCACTACTCCCTGGCGGCCAGGTGGGGTTCGGGGAGGGAGGGCGTTAGGAAGAAAGGAAATCTGAAGCCTCTGGAAGTAGCTCCGCAGCACACGACCCTCACTCCTCGCCCCCGCCCCCACCCCGGCCCAGACTGAGAAGGCAGTGGGCGTGGCCTGGGCGGGGGCACGACGGGACAGCGCCGTAGAAGCCTATGCGCAGCCAGAGTGGCGCGGGGGCGGAGCCAGGACCTGGGGGTGGGGACTTTTAGTGGGGGGCGGCTACAAGGGCGGGGTCTACGTGCCGCGGGGCCCGAAAGGGGCGTGGTCCTAAGAGGCGGGGCGGGGCGGCTCTAGGCTAAGAGTCAGCTGCGCGGCCACGCTCTTGGTTCCCGCGGTCTCCGCCGCTGGCGGTGCTCAGTCTCTCCGCGCGCCCACCTTCCCTGTTCCTCGGGCCGGACTAGTGTGGGGAGCGCCCCACGCGCCGCCACCCGCATGGCTGCCATCAAGGCGCTGCAGCAGTGGTGCCGGCAGCAATGCGAGGGCTACCGGGGCGTGGACATCACCAACATGACTACCTCGTTCCGCGACGGCCTGGCCTTCTGCGCTATCCTGCACCGCCACCGGCCGGATCTCATGTGAGTGCTCAGTGCCTCGCCCGCGCCCTTTGAGCCTGCCACGCAGTGCGCGCACATTCGGGGAAACTGAGACCTACGGCGCAGTCAGAGCTCGGGGACACTGCTCAGAGCCCGGCAGGGCAGAGTGCCCTAGGCGCAGCAGCCTTCCCCCGGCCTCGGGGTGCCGTACACCAAGTGCAGCTGGGCTGTGGCAGGACGTGGAGGCCCCGCAGTCTTAGTCATTGGTGACTCAGGCAGCACCCTGGCTCCTGGGAAAGGACTGACGGAACTCCCCTCTAGGCCCTGGTGACCCCATGATGCCCTGGGGTCTGGCCACAAGACTGGGGTCACTGGGGGCGTCCAGTGTGGGGACTGCCCCCTTCCTGACCTCCCCAGGGACATTGGAACATTCAGGGTCACTGCAGAGAGGGGAGTCAGAGCATGGAGCCCCCAGATACCAGGTCCTGCACCTAGGGGTTATAGGGGATGAGACGCAGCTGCAGGAGGTGGCAGGTGATGGGGGCCAGTGGAGCTTGCATGGATGGCCGGGCCCTAACTTGATGCCAGATGTTGGCCCAAGCATGAATCTGTTGTATCTATGCCCCTGGGCTGAATGACTGGGACCAAGCTCTCTGGGACAGATGGACTGGTGGACAGACGTGCAGGAAGGGGGCCCTCAAAAGGCCCTTGAAGCCCAGGCACCTGGGAAAAGCACTGTCCTGAGAAGTCATGGCGGTGGCCTGGGCTGAGGTGGGGTGTGTTTGCTGAAGAGGTCTTGACACTGGGAGAGGAGAAAGGCAGCACTTTCTAGATTTGGCCTTTATCAGGCCCCTTGCTGTGCAGACAGGGAAAGTGAGGCCCAATGAGGGTCCCTTGTTCAGGTCAGGCTGTCAAGGCCAGCATCCGGCTCTTGCCGGTACCGACCTCTGTTTTTACTGGGAAGCTAGTCTTGAGCAAGACGCCTAGGCTCCTGACCCAGGTTGTGAAATGAGTTTGCGGAGCCGCAGGTGTGTGTGTGTGTGTGTGTGTGTGTGTGTGTGTGTGTGTGTGTGTGTGTCCACATGTTCTTTGGGCAGCAACCTCTGCTCCCTGCCGGGACACCCTCTCCTGGCCCTCCAGGGCAGGTGTTAGAGTAACATGTGCTGCCACATCAAAGGCATGAAGCTGATCTTTAAAGGATGATGTGCTGGGGGTGAGGTGCTGGGGGAGAGGACCTGAAGTGGGGAGGCTAGTGGCTGGGTCCCCTGGGGTGCAGAGTCCAGGGTGCACCTGGATGGTTACTGGACCCAGGCAACTCAGAAGGAGCTAGTGTGACAAGTCTTCAAGTGAACAGGAAGATGGTGCCTCTGCCTGCCGGCCCTGCAGCCTGGGGCAGGTGTGACTGGACATAGGGGACCTTTCCTGCCCTGGAGAGCTACCGTCTGCTCCCAGCAGCATGCCATGTGTCTGGCCCGGGACGCATCACCCATGGGGAGAGAGGCATGCTCATGTGAGTATGTGTTGCTCAGTGCTGGCACAAGCAGGCTCACACACTTGAGCTGTTCACTTAACTGACAGTTTAAGTGCCTGCTGTATACTGTACAAGACCCTAGTCCCAGAGATGCGCAGTAAACTTAGTGCTGAAGGCAACTCGGGAGAGGCTAGAGGCCAAGACGGAAGGAGACAGGAAGAAGAGGCAGCTGGCCACAGTTATTCGTGAGATAGAGTTATTGTTGACTTGCTGGCTGGTTGTCCCTGCTGGTGGGATGGCTCTTATTCATGCATGCCTAGAACCCTGCTAGGTAGATATTTGTACACAGCTGGAGCTTTGCAGATAAAGGCACGAAGGTGGGGCTCAGTAGATGTGCTAGGAGCTTGGTGGGAGGTTGTGGACAGTAGGGAGGAGTAGAGACCATACAACCAAGGAACAGAGATGGGGCCATGAGACAACTAGAGCCATGAAAAGCTGAAGAGGCAGGAAGGACCCTCCCCTGGCCACTCACGTCTGATATTGGACCTGTGGGCTCCAGACTCCCAGGGAGCAAGGTCCTGTGTGGAGCCTCCGTTTGTGGCATTGGTCACAGCAGTGATGGGATAGGGGACAGGCTTGGGCAGGGGTCACAATGCAGTGGGGGCGGCAGATACAGTTCATAGAATGTCTGAGTGTGACTGGGACGCTTGTGTCCCTGTGTCTGAGCCTGAAATACCTGGATCCGTGGCGCCTGCCTTGGTCCGGCCATCCTCACTGTGAAGTTCTAAGCTGCCCTCCCACACATACTGGGCACTGGGGAATGTGGGTGCAGGGGACTCTGGGGAGCCTGAGGTCAGACTGCCTGAGACCTTGACCAACACTCCCATCCTCCTCTACTTCCCCTGAAGCCCCTCAGGCAGCGGGAAAGTTGACATCCTGTCTCTGTGTCCTTAGCTTTGCCACCAGGAAGTCCTTCTCTTTGTCTTGCCTCATTCTTCCTGCTGCACGCTGTGCATGTTTCCTCTGCCTGCAGCAGAGGGCAGCTGTAAGGGACCAGACGTCGGGCACTGAGCCATCCAGGTGGGGCTCCTGGGCTCCTGACTCTGCCTGGGGCCTGTGTCCTGCTCCTCCCACACTGGTGGCCTCTCAGCCCCAGTAAGTGTGTGTTTCCCCTTACAGGTCAGGAGACAGGCTCATGTAGTGATACCCACGGGGAGTGGCCGTGGGGATCTGGCTCCTGCCCCATGGCACCCAGAGCTTCTGGTTCTTGGACAGTTTTTGGTGGTGCAGCCACAGGGCCCATTTCCGCTGTGACCTGCCTGTGCTTGCTGCCAGGTGAGCCTGGCACAGACCCCGCCCTCCTGCCTCTGGGGCAGAACCACCGCCTGTGTGGCCTGACGTCTTCCCAGCTGCCTGGGCCAGGAGCCCAAGATGGGCCAGACCACAAGGGAGGTTGGTGGAAGCCTGTGGGCCTTCTGCTCAGAGGGATCTGTAAGAGCCCCAGCGAAGCTGTTGTGAGGTTGGGGTTCTGCAGACTCCCCACCCCTCAGTCCCATGGTGGGGTGACCAGAACTTCCTCAAGGCCCCTCCAGTTCCAGAGTCCAGTGTCAGAGCTGAGGCCACGTGGCCTTGCATGGAGCCCTAAGTGGTGGGCCCCAGACCCTAGCAGGGCTCCCAGAGGCTCCCAAGGCTGGAGACTGGCATTGCATGGCTGGGGAGAGACTCACAGGAGACCTCATCCAAAAGCCTGGCAGCAGGACCTTCTCCCCTCCCAGCCTGGAGCCAGGGTGGCCAGGCGAGGCTGGGCTGGCCTCTCCTCCCACACAGGCCCTGCGGTCAGCAGGAAGCCGCCTGGGGACAGAGGCCTTCTGTTCCTGCCTGAGGGCTGCTGCCTACCCAGACCCCTTCCGCCAGAGCTCTCCAGGGCGGATGGGAAGGGGCTGCCACCCATTCCGGGTGTGGGCAGCACTTGGCTCTTGGAGCCCCAGCCTGCCAGCCTGGCCTCCCCCTTGCTTTGCCTGCCCTGCTGGGGCTCCCGCTGCTGTCTTGATGTCTCTCTCCATTCTGCAGTGTTCCCGAATCCCTCTCTGGGTCTCTGTTTGTCCCCCTCGCTGCCCGCTTCCGGGTGGGATTGGCTCCAGATGTGCTGGAGGTGCCTGGGGGAAAACCCTGAGCAGTGCTTTTTCCCTTCGCAGCCCAGCGTTCACCGTGGTGTGGCTGCGTTTGTTCCAGGAAGTAAAAACTGTGAGGTCGGCCAGTTGGGATTTGGAAGGGGGGATATGTCCCCCAGAGTCCCAAGGGCAGGAGGCTGGCTCCTCCCAAGGCTGTAGCTCACAGTGTGGAGCTCCACTGTGGCTGAAGGAAGGCAGTCCAAGGTGGGGGCTGAGGGGCCTGGTTGGTTGTGCTCTGGCAGCTACAATGGGCACGCAGTGGGAGATGACTGACCAGTGGATCATTGCTGGACTGACCTGTGGGCCTCATGACTTCATCCATTCGGCTACTGCTGAAAGAGTAAGCGGATGCTATAGAAACCTTGTACAGCAAAGCGTTGCACGAATGAATTTATCAGCAAACATGAGTTGAGTGCCAACTGTGTGTCTCGTCCCGTGGCAGGTGCTGTGGGTTGAACCAGAGCTCACTGATTGTACATGATGACAATTCCAACGAAGTCAGCCTAATTCAGGAGGGGTCTCGGGTCCTGGCCCATCAGTCTGTAGGTCCCACGGGCTGAGCCCTGCTCTTTCCTGTTTCTGTGCCCAAGGGACACCTCCCTGGTGGCTGGTGGTCACTGCTCCAAGCTGGCAAAGCTGATGCTTTTGTCTTGAGTCCTTGAAGTCAAGCTGGCTGCCTCCGCTGGCTCAGCTCAAGTCAGTTACTGCTGCCATGACAAAGTGTCCCAGCCTGGGTGGCTTGGACCACAGAAATGGGCCCTCAAGGTCCTGGAGGCTGGAGGTCCAAGGTCAGATTGTCAGTGGGACTGGTCCCCCGGAGGCTGTGAAGAGTCTGTTCTTGGCCTCTTTCCTGTGCTTGTGGACAGCATCGATTCCTCGGGTCCACATATCCTTGACTCTGTGTCCGCATTTCCCTTTTTGATGAGCACAAGTCAGACTGGATGAGGGCCACTTTCACTTGATTGCCTCTGTGACTAACACCCTCTCCGAGTATGGTCAGATTTGAAATTACTGGGGCTTGGGCCGGGGATTTAGCTCAGTGGTGCCGCCACCTGCCTCGCAAGTGCAAGGTCCCAAGTTCTATCCCTGGTACCAAAAGAAAAAAAAGAAATTACTGGGGCTTGGGCTCCAAGGTCACTTTATGGAGGAGGCCATAATTCAGCCCCAAACTCTAGTGACCTCCCCGCCAGCAGAAAGCTGGCCTTGTGGTCTTCCTGGAGGCACGGGTTGAGTCCCTACTTGCCACCTGGGGCGGGACTTGCAAGGAAGGGCCTCTGACCAGGCACTTCCCAACACAGCGCTGGCCTCAGGGCTCAGCTTCTCGGGGACATGTGCTGACCTCGCCTGAGTCCTGGGTACCTGGGCTCGAAGAGCTGGGAAAGGGTGTTCAGGCACAGCCTTGGGGAGGTGCTCCAGGGATGTGGCAGCCCGGGGGTTGGCTGGGGTGGCCCCCCCGGTTGTAGATCTCCCACAGGCCCAGGGAAGCAGCTTGGACTTGGTTCTGAGTTTAGCAGCTATTGAATTTGCAGCCATGGCCTGTGTGCCATGGTCCTGCGCAGAGTGCCACTGCTGCAGCTGCAGAGGAGAGTTGGGAGGCGTGGGGCACCCTGGTCTGCCTGAAGCTGTGGGTCAGGGGACGAGGTGCCCCCATGGAGGGAGCCACTCCCCCTTCCCCTGCTTTGTTTAGAGACGAAACAGAACTTGTGATCCTGCTCCCTGCCCCGCCGCCAGCCTTCTTGCAGGGCGGGGACGCAGGGGTGGTGTTTCAGTGACCTGGAGTGGGAACACCTGGAAAGGGCTCTGACTTTGCAAGGGGCAGGGCAGGAGGGGGCAGAGTGGGCTCTTGGGCCCCACAGGCTGAGCACAGATGGCCGGTGTGGTTGAGGACTCGGGGAAGTTGGATGCAGGCTGGCCACTGTGTGCCCTTGGACATGCCTGGGGTCACACCACATCTGGGGACAGAGCCAGGGGAACAGGCTGCCGAGACCCGTGGGTGCTGAAACATGGCCCTCTCTTCCCTTTCCGTCCACCTCTGTGCCCTCAGGGTGATTTCAGGATCTGGGACACATCACTGGGAAGGTGGTTTCATCCAGAAGTGCTGGAGCCCTAGGGGAGGCATGCTAAGCAGGGAGGTGGGCAAACTCCAGCCCCCCCCCCACCATGTGGCCTGTCTGCTCATCTGTAAAATGGGCTTGTGGTGTGGCCTGAGGGTCATCATGGGGACAGGGCCAGGCTAGCTCACCCTCTGCCGGTGGACTGGGCCCGAAGCCAGGCCATCTCAAGCAAGGCGGTCAGCTCCTACCCTCCTCTGATGGAGACCTGCCCAGTCTTTCCACTTGCTGTCAGCCAGCTGTGAAGAGGGCTGTGGGGTCAGTGGCGAGCCCAGCAAGACACAGCTTTTGGCCGAGCCCCCTCCTGTGCCGGGGGACTTCTGGGACAGGCTGGCTCACTGGCGTGGCAGTGGCTCTGCTCAGACCCGAGGACAGCACTTGAAGGACAGAAGCCCACTGTTTACCTGGCTCCCTGGGCAGCAGCTTCTGTGGGTGCTGCGCGGGCTGGGGCTGCCTGCGTGTGCTGTAGCTGTGTCTGCCTGTGTGCCCATGTTGGAGCACACTGGGGCATGTGGACAGAGACCTGGGCCCTCACTGCAGTGCATTCTTATGCCCCTGCACTCCTGTGGTCCTGTTCAGGGCTCCACTTCCCTCTTCTCTGAGGTCCAGCCCTCCCTGGGTACTTAGGATGACACCCGTGAACAGAGGGAGCAGCTGGAGCTCAAACACCTGGACTTGGAGCTGCAGTGAGACTGGGCCTCCCATCTCCTGCTGTGTGACCTGGGCAGATCCTAAGTGACCAGTGTCCACGCCATAGGATGGTGTGGTGCTGAGGGTGGGAATTTAAGAAAAGCTGACAATAGCAGCCCCCAGGAGGCCCCATGAGAATAAAAGTGGGTGATAGGACCCATAGGTGGGCTGTGTGGCTGCAGGCTGGCCTGGTGGACTTCCCTTGTGTGCAACCCCATTGTTCTGCCCTCATAGCAATGGCCTGTCTGACCCACCAGGTCACCGAGCTCCATTTGGAATTAGCCTACCCTGAGCGGTGTCCTTGCTGGGCCACCTTGTGCTGGTGGTTTTGCCTTTCTGGGCCCAATTGGGGCAGGCATGGTGGGCAAGGCCTCAGCCCCCCAGGGTTGGACGTGGAGTTGAGCTATAAGGACCCTCATGGGCTCTCTGTGCCTGGGCATAGGGTTCTAGGTGCCAGGCACATTGCAGTGGCCAGAGGTGGCCAGGAGCCCAGCCTGCTACCAGCCTGCCCTCCTGGAGACATCGTTCATTTACAGCCCTCAGTCCTAGCTTCAGTTTCCCGATGTGGGCAAGACGACCCTGTTAGGAAAAAGGAAAAGAAATAGCTACGAACCCAACAGGACAGGCTTATTTTAGACCAAACTTAAGAGGGACTGCTCTGGCACTAGAGACCGGACCAGCTCATTCTCCCAGAGACTAGAAGGTGTTTATTAGCTCATGAGCATAAAAAAGGGAGGCCGAGGGGCTGGGGATTTAGCTCGGTGGTGCCACTGCCTCCCTCACAGGCGCAAGGTCCCCAGTTGGATCCCCAGTACCAAACCAAACCAAACCAAACCAAACCAAACCAAACCAAACAACAGGGAGGCTGTGGAAGGAATAAGTCACAATGGGACTTTTGAAGGGGAGAGCTCACTAAAAAGGAGCTGTAGGCTGTCTGTCCCAGACAGGACTTGAGAACAACAAGGAGTTTCACTTTTGTGTCAAGAGCAGGGCTGAAGGATGATAAGGAATTGTAGGGCGAGGCAGTGGTGACTGGGCCTTATCAACCCATGAGGATACATCTGCAGCAGGTGTAAAAGCATCTGGGTGGGAGGGATTTAAAGTGGTCTCTGCTCAGACCAGGATGGCGGTGGTCAGATTCCTTCAGATCCCAGAAGGCCCCACCAGCCCCTGCCCTCTTGGACTCTGAGCTCCTCTCAACATGAGAATTTTTATCTTCCAGAAACTACAGTGCCCTCCGGAAGGAAAACATTTATGAGAACAACAAACTCGTAAGTCCCTTGGACCCAGCCCCAGCCCGACCCCGGGGATCCTGCCCATCATGCCGCAGCCTCAGAGCTGCCCCGTCAGGTACCATCAGGCCCCAGAGGAGTGAGCCTTCCTGGGCTGTGCAGGAGTCCTGCCAGGGGTCTGGGCCTCCACACCCCCTCTGCAGGTGGCCTGTCCTGACCTGGGACCTGGGATCCTGGGAGCAGCCTTGGGTCTCGGTGCCCTGCCCTGCCCACCCCCTCTTCTGCAGTGGGGCCGTGAAGGGCAGGGAGCGGCCAGCAGCCTCCTGCCCTGTGAGCGGCCCAGCCTGGTCCTCCCAGGGGAGAGCATATCCTGGAGGCTGTGGGAGGCTGGCCCTGGTCCTGGGTGGGCCCTCTGCTGTCCCCACCCCTTGGGGGCCAGCCTCCCTGCCCCTGAATTCAGAGCCTGCCCTGCCCTCACAGCTGTGAGATCCTCCCCTGGGATGGCCTCAGTTTCCCTGCTTCTAACCAAGCTCCCCTCCCGCCGGGCTGAGGAGTCAGGGCAGCCCCCATCCTGTTTTGAGCCAGGTCTCTGGCACAGTCCTGCCAGGGGTGGGGGGCAAAGGCCACGAGTCCGTCAAACCTGCCCAGCCACGTGCTCTCCGCACTTGGTTAGGATGAAATACCATGATGAATTTAGCTCCTTGGGTGCCTTGGTCACATTTCAAAAGCTCAGCCGAGTGTGGCGGGTGGCTGCTGTGTCCAGCTGCGCAGGAGGACTCAGTACCATGGAAGGCAGTGGGGAGGGAAGGGCAGGGCCAACAGGCTGGGGCAGCCTCTCTCCCAGTGACATCCATGGGAGGGGTGACCCAGGCAGATGCACCACCACTTCGGGTTCTGCAAGGAACCTGCCATCCGTGGGGATGAGCCCAGAGCATCGGGAAGGTCTGGGAATTGTCCGGCTGTGGAGGGTCGCAAGCTTGAGGGCAGTAAAGGGCTGAGCCTGGGGCTCCCCGGGTCCTGGCCCCAGAGCAGCTGTATCCAGGAGTTGGTGGAACTTTGCTAGCCCATGTGTGGTGGCTTGGTGCCAGCTGGAGTAGGCGGGAGCCATCTGCAGCCACAGCTTGGGGCAGGGGGCCCTGGGGTGTGTGATGGGGGCTGGATGGGCCCAACAGGAGGAAGGCAGTGGGGAGGGCCGGGCCTGAGGGCTGTGTGTTCGGCAGAGGCAGTGGATGGAGAGGGTGGAAGCGCGCCGAGCCAGTGCGCCATGCCTGGTACACAGTGGGTGCCTGTAACTGCAGGCTGCCCGCCCTGCCTCAGTCCCCGCTCCTCCCCATGGCATGGGCTCCCAGGTTGCAGGCTGCCCCGTGTCCCCACTTGGCTCAGTGTCTGGGTGGATGGGGCTCAGGCTTGGGGGGCTGTCTCTGGGGTGATGTGGCCCTGGGGCAGGACCCATCAGGAGCCCCCTGGGCTGCCCCACTGAGCGACATCAGCCCCTCCTGTTGGGATGGGGACCCCCATGTCCAGGTGGGCCTAGCAAGGAGGGAGCCCTCCCGGCTGGCCCCTGGGGTCTGCTCCCTGCTGACCTCTGTCCTCATCTTCCCCAGGCCTTCAGTGTGGCAGAGGAGCAGCTGGGCATCCCCGCCCTGCTCGACGCCGAGGACATGGTAGCCCTGAAGGTGCCTGACCGGCTGAGTATCCTGACCTATGTGTCGCAGTACTACAACTACTTCCACGGCCGCTCCCCCAGTGAGTCCTGGCCTCCAAGTGGCAGGGCCCCCCTTGGGGTCTATGTGTGGTCCCCCAGCACCCCAAAACTGGCATGGCTCTGGGGGTAGGTGACAGCTGTGCATTTGCCCCATGAACGTGGGAAATAGCCTTTCTGGGGTCATGTGGCTCAGGAGCCCCCAGGGCTGTGTCTCCTGTAGGTGCCCAGCAAGGCCTGGCTCACCCAGCCCCCCAGTCCCCTAGTGTGTCTCTACTGGGCTGGCTGGGCTCTGCTCCTGCCCATCCCCCCTCTCAGCCATGCAAGCCCCCTCCTCGGCTCCTGTCTCTCCACCCTGCAGGGCCTTGGTTTGCCCATCCATACCCCTGAGCTCCAGTGCCCACTGCTGGGCAGCTCTGTGGATCCTGTGCGACCCTGGGCATCTGGTGCCAACTTTGGCCCTTATGGAGTCAGCTGGCCCAACAGGGATGGGCAAAGGCTGCAGGCAGGGCCTTTCCTCTCCCCAGCCTTTGTGTGAGGAGCTGCTCTGGCCTCCCCACACCCTCTTTCCTCCCCTAGGCTTTAGAAATCCCCGGAATCTCTCTGGGCGAGGAGCCAGGCCCGCCTGGTGGAGAAACAGAAAAATCCCTTTTCCTTGACCCCAAATCGGGGTTGCCACTGGGGAGGGGGCAGGGTGGGGACCAGGCCTGCCCTTGCTGAGAAGAACATGCCCTTGGGCACCCTTCCCCACTGTGCCCCCATCAGGAGCCCTGGGGGGCCATGCCACCCTCCTGCACCAAGCCCCCTTCTGGGCACCCTGACTCTGGGACACAGGCTCTTGCAGAGCCAGGTGCTGGCCAGGCCAACCCTCCTGACTCCATGTGTCTCCTGCCAGTTGGGGGCATGGCTGGCATAAAGAGGCCCCCGTCGGATCCGGAGGAGGAACCTTCTGGGAAGAAAACCCCGTCCATGCCGGCCAAGCTGCCGTCACCTGTCCCAGGCCGGGTGCTTCCGCTGTCTGAAGGCAGGACCAGCTCTGTGGTACAGAGGAAGGACGGGGGCCCAGAGGGCCCACTCCCGAAGGCTGTGAGCACCCTGCCTCTTGCCCTTCACTCTTTTTTTGGTACCGGGGATCGAGCTTGGGTCATTGCGCTTGCGCAGCAGGCAGCGAAACCACTGAGCTAAATCCCCGGTTGCCCTTCACTCTTGCTGAGCAGCCCCTACACAGCTGGGGATGTGGGGCGGGTCCTGAGGGTGTGCAGCACACAGCCCAGCTCTTGTTTGTCGGAGCTCATGGGGCTGGCTCCCCTGGGGCCCTTCAGCTCTGTACAATTGTCATTCCCCGTTGTACAGATGGGTAAATTGAGGCCCAAGGAGGCCATGCAGGTGGGAGAGCTCAAACCCAGACCTTCTGCGCTCTCAGTGGACTTCTTGCCTCCTCCTGGGGTGAGAGTGGCACTGGGTTGGTCCTTTATTCCCAGGCCAAAAAGGTGGAGACCGAGAGGCCACTGGTGCTTGGACGCCCCCTGCTGTCCCCAGGCAGCCACTGCAGGCTCCAAGGAGCTGGAGCAGGACAGGGCAGGGATCTGGGGCTGGGCTTGGATCCCTATGTCCTGGGATAGGGAGAGGAGGTTGCTCGGGGCCCACCGCACTCCCCAGGGCCACACCGGAACCCTGGACTTGGGGCCCAGCCTGTCCCCTGTCTAGCTGCTCCTTGGGCCTCAGTTCTCTGCTCTGTAAAATGGGATCTTCAGGGCGCTATGCTGGATCCTGGCTGAGATGGGAGCCTGGGACAATGGGTGGCACTCAGCAGCTCCTGGCACCCCCCACCCGCCCAGGGCCAGACGCTGGCAGGCAGTGCAGTCAGCAGCATCTGCGGGGTCTGTGGCAAGCACGTCCACCTGGTCCAGCGGCACCTGGTTGATGGGCGACTGTACCACCGCAGCTGCTTCAGGTGGGTTCCTGCCCATACCAGGCGCATCTCCTGCCCACCTCCTATGGCTCCCAATGACTCCCAGCTGGCCACACCCTCCATGGCCTGGCCAATTGTTGAGCTCCCAAGATGCGCAGCTGTTTCCAGACACCCAGGGTCTGACACTGTCCGGCCAAGCCCTACTGCCCCCACCCCTCAGCATCCCTCAGAGACCTTGGTGCTGTCTGCTGTACTTTTTGTATCCTGTGCCCACCCTAGTCCCTCCTGCCTTCTGCTGCTCCCAGCTGAAGGGTTCTGGAGGGCAGACTCAGGGCCTCTGCAAAGCTGGAGGCTCAGTCCCCAAAGTGGGGCATGGGTGGCCTGTGCATGTGTATGCACGTGTGTGTGACTGTGTAGTGAGGCCATTGAGAATGCATGTGTGTGATCGTGTTGAGTGTGCAGGTGTGTGTGTGAGAGTGTGCACAGGTGTGATATGTGACTGTGTGTGATTGTATGGAAGTGCATGTGTATGAGCATGTGTGACTGTGAGCATGCATGCACACATACACATTTGCTGACATGCTGGGGCACTTCCTGGGGCGAGGTGGCTCACAAAGCTTATAGCCACAGAAGGGGCGTTTGTGGAGTGAATCAGTGACCACACAAATGTATGAGGAGTACATCAGTGTGTGGTCTTGGGCTGTGTGAGCGAAGGAGCTGTGGGGGAACGGGGAGGACAGGACTGACCCAGGCCTGGGACTCCCTGCAGGTGTAAGCAGTGCTTCAGCACGCTGCGCTCTGGGGCCTACCGGGCCGCCGGGGAGCCGGGCATCTTCATCTGCACCAGCCATCACTCCAAAGCCACCTCGGGGAAGGCTGCGGTGCTGGGTGTGCCTTCCAGACAGCCTGTGGACTCGGGGCCCCCCACCATTCTGCGGAAGGCCCAGGAGATGAACGGGCAGGGAGACGCACCACTGAAGGCCCACCCAGCGGTCCAGCAGCCTGCAGGGGACAATGCGGCTGTGAAAGGCTTTGCTCAGACTACATCTGAGCCCCCAGCCACCACCTGCCCCATCCGCGTGGGGAGCCCAGCGGGATCCAGACTGCCCACGAGCCCAGTGGCCTCCCACTTGGAGCACAACAGAGCTGGCACACGTGTGACCAACAGCTCCCCAATGGGGTGGACATCACTTGCCCAGAGCCCAGTGGCAAACAGCTCTCGGTCTGCCCCTAGTGTCCCAGACCCTTGCCCAGCCATGCCCCAAGGCCAGGGCACCCCCCAAGTGTCAGCTGCTCTGACCAAGCTTGCCTCGAACTCAGCATCTCCGGGTGCAGTGGACCCTCCAGCCTGGACCCCTTCGGCCACTAGGACCCAGCAGGCCCGGCAGAGGTTCTTCCAGAGCCCGGCTGCCCCCCGCAGTGGCCCTGCGAGCCGGACCCCTGCCCCCACAGACACCCCCTTCCGGGACAGCAGCAGGGAGCAGGCGCTGAGCTTTCTCAAGAAGACCCTCCCGGGGCGGGAGGCAGGCGGTGCCCAGGCAGCCAGCAGGTAGGTGGAAGAAGTGTGTCTAAGGGGCAGCTGCTACCTTCCCACCACTTCTGCCTCCAGCACCACCTGTGTCAGTGTCTTTGTTTCTGTCTTTCATGAGGGTACTAACTTCAGGTTAGGGCCACTCTCGTCCAGTATGACTGCATCTTAGCATGGTTACGTGTGTAAAACTGTTTCCAAGTAGGACACACAGCCTTTCCAGGGGATGGGAATTGTGGGGTCCCACTCTGGGCTCCACCAGCCGGCACCCCACCTCCTGTGTGAATGTGCACTCCCAGGATGCAGGTGGCCCAAAGCTGTAGCCCTCCAGTAGTTTAGAACCAAGCAAGGCAGCCCCAGGCCAGCCCAGGGCTCTGGGTAGCAGGCTCCAAGGTGAAGTCCCGGTGTGCTTGGCCCTGGCCCCATGAATGCTGATTTGAGGCATTTCCATCCCAGCCAACACCGCATTTAATAGGAGTAAAATCAGCCATGGACACACACAAGTGCAGAAGTGGGTGCCTGTCCTCACCTGGATGGACTGTCCTCCCTCTGGAGGGTGGCCGCTGGGGGTAGCACTGGGAGGGGCGCTGGGATCCACCCATGCCTGCTCCCTGCTTCTTACCTACAGGTCCTCCCCAGCCACCTCCCCTGCTGTGAATTCCTGTCCCCAAACTGAAGCTCCAAAAACAGCTCTCTCAGCCAATCCATCACAACCAACCATTCCCCACACCCTCCACTCCACTTCGAGGCCAGAGCCATCTGCCCACCTGAGTGTGGGCAACACCTCGCAGGCATCTGGGTTGTCCCAGATGGGCAGGACCTCAGCCGTGTCCTCAGGGCTTGGCAGGGCAGGGATAGGCTCCAGGCTGAAGCCAGAGGCCCCGACGGCAAAGGGTAAGAGCCCTTGGCACGGGTGGAGGGGGTCTTGGTGAGGGTTTGGGGTCTGTGTTCTGTTTGTTTGTTTGTTGGTACCAGGGATCGAACTTGGGTCCTTGTGCTTTCGAGGCAGGCGGTGGAACCCCTGAGCTAAATCCCTGGCCCATGGGGTCTGTGTTCTGCGTGCCACCCTGTCTCCTCTGGCCTGAGTGCTGGCTGCCCCTCGTGGGCTTTGTTCTTCATGCTTGAAGTCTTGGGGCTCCTGGTCCTGCCCCTCACTCTCTGCAGGCCCTGCCTCGTAACTCCCCTGGGTTCTCATTCTCGCTTGCTCCCCATGTGATGGTGGCCGTGTCCAGGACTGTCACCATCTGCCCACTGCCCAGTGCGTGCTCTCCCTTCCCGGGTGCCCACCGTCCAGCCCCCACAGCTTCTGCCCTTAGCTGTGTTGGCTCCAGCCCTGTGTGGCACCCCGTCCATCTCCACTCTGGGCCCCTCCTGCGTCCACGGTTCTGCTGCCCTGCCCTGGCTTTTCCTGACTGCTGTTGGACCAGGCCCAGAGCCAGGGGCTTTCATCTGGGAATCTGGGGTAAACCTTAGAGGTGGCTGTGGGCTGACAGACGGGCTCGGAGGATGCACTGTGCAAATTGTTTTTAAGTCTTTCCCTTTGGCTGAGCCCCCACCCCACCAAAGCCTCTGTTGGATCTGAAATTGAGACCCAGCGAGGGGGAGTGATTCCTGCAGGGACACAGCACAGGCGACTCTAGGGACCTGAGGGAGGGGCAGCCGGGGATGGGATGGGAGTACCCGTGCCCCTCCCCTGATCCATCCCCTTGGCCCCGCCAGATGCAGGCACCAGCAGCCCCCAGGAAAGCCAGGAGGGTGGGCCGGAAGGCTGGAGGGCCCGCCTGAAGCCTGTGGATAAGAAGCCGCCTGCTGAGAGGTGAGGCCCTGGCACACAGCGGGTGCTCACCAAGTGGCCCCAGAATGTGACAGCAGGGCAGGACAGATGCATGGCACTGTGCCCTGCAGTTGTACACAGCAAAAGCTGGATCTCACCAGCCGGGTGTTGTGGGGTGACGGGGGACAACACGCCAGCCGAGTGACACCAGCAGGGCGGCACGAGGGATGACATACTGGGCACGGGGCAGCGGGTGACATATCCACTCCAGCCTGCAGCTCACATGCAAGAACACAGGGGTCCCGGGCCGCGGTAGGTGTCTGCCCACATCCGGATCACGCAGGGTCACCTGTGCCTGTGCCCACCCGGGCAGTGGGCTCACCACGGGGAGGTGGAGTTTGGAAGACCTATGTCCCCAGGGTGCAGACAGGGCAGGGGCCTTGGAGGAGACAGGCCATTGCAGGGGGCGGAGCCCTGTGCTGTCCCCATGTGATGGACTGACCTCGTGCCTTCTTTCTGTCCAGGGCACGGGAGCCGAAGGGGCCGCGGGTCCTGGCAGAGCCGAAGGCTGGAGATGTCCCAGTGTCCCCCAGGGCCCCCATGCAGGCCTCGGGCAGCTTCCAGGGGGGTGCTCGCACCACCTTGACCCCTGTGCAGCCACAGCAGACACCAGGCCACACTGGCCAAGGGCTCAGGCTCCCAGGTACTGCTGGAGGGGCTCCTAGGGGTCTGCATACCTGTTCATGTCTATGTGCATTTCCTCCCTGTACTCCCAGGTGCCCTGCATCTGGGTCCTCCTCTGAGGCCCCTTCCCATGTGGCCTAAGCAGTCACTGACCCTGTGGGACCCTCCCTGGGTGGATGTGACCAGTCTGGACACGTTGCCATAGGCCTGGCCCCTGTGTCCACTGGGGAGACAGAGGAGTGGTGACCTCAGCCTTCCGGGGCCTACTGGCCTGACCCAGGGCTCTGTCCCCGACCGGGGGACAGCTGCTTCCCCCTCCCCCTCCCCCTCCCCCCGCAGGAGACTGGCCGTCCCTCCCAGCCTTGATGTGTCTGCCAACTGGCTTCAGTCGGAGCCATCAGGGCAGGATGCTCAAGGCCGGAGCAGGAAGGAGGAGAAACCTCATTCTCGGGACAAACCAGGTCAGCCCCAGAGATGTCTCTGTTTTTGTTTGGGGTATGGACAAAGGAGGCTTCCTCTAAGGAGGAGATGTATGTTAGGGGTTTGGAGACTATGTAGGAGCCCGTGGGGCCCAGAATGGAAGGAAAGCCTGGAGGACCTAAGCTTTTCTGGTGATAGGGTGGGAGCACTGGACAGAGACCCCACTTTCCTCTTGTCACTGATGCCTGGTCACAATGGAGTGTTCCCTCCTTGCAGCCTGGGGACAGGGTGGCCAGGGGCTGCGCAGGGGCTTGTGTGTCTCTGGAGGGGTCCCTGGACTCAACCTGCTTCTTCTCCAGGGAGGCCTCCTAGCCCAGCCGACGTTCCCGCCTCGCCTGGCAAGTCCACAACCTCCCCCATCAGGGTGAGTAGGCCAGGTGGCACCCTCGGTGGGGCTGGGCCTCAGCCCTGGGCTCACCCTGACCCACCGCCCCCAGCTGCACCCCGACTATGTCCCCCAAGAGGAGATCGACAGGCAGCTGCAGGACATCGAGAGGCAGCTGGACTCGCTGGAGCTCAAGGGCATCACAATGGAGCAGCAGCTGCGTGCAGCTGAGGGAGGTGAGCACTTGGCCCCGCACACCCTGGGCCAGGTCCCTGTTCCATGGGGGCACCCGGAGGGACCCAGCCCCGGCCCTCTCCCACCAGTGCCCCTCTCCACAGCTGCCGAGGAGGATGACCTCATGGTGGCCTGGTTCCAGCTTGTCCACAAGAAGCAGCTGCTACTGAGGCTGGAGTCGGAGCTGATGTACAAGTGAGGCCCTGTCTGGAGTCCGGGTGGCAGAGTGGTGGCTGTCATGGGCCTCAGACCTCCGTGTGCCCGCAGGTCCAAGGCCCAGCGCCTGGAGGAGCGGCAGCTGGACCTGGAGGGCGAGCTCCGCAGACTCATGGCCAAGCCTGGTGCGTCCATACCTCTGAGCCACAGGTCCAGGCTGCCCGAGGAGAGGGGTGGCCCTGACTGAGTGGGTTGTCCCCTGTCCCCAAGAGGCCAGTGGTGTCCTCTTGTGGCCAAACTGGCCAGGCCTACCTAGCTTCTCAGCTCTTCCACCTCCTGGCTGTGTGTCTTCAGCCAAGTCACTTAACCTCTCTGTGCTTGTGCTACCCCTTCTTCAAAGTATGTTGCAGCACCACTCCCAGCCAACTTGCATTACGGGGTTTAGTGCACGTGAGGTGCAGTCCAGGCAGTGGGTGGGGAGGCCTTGGTGAGGGATGTGCATTCCATGGGGCAGTGCTGAGTGCCCTGTGCCCTCAGCCCTGCCCTGCGTGTCCTCGGCTGGGACTGGGCCCTGCCTACCACACACCCCGAGCTGGGCAGCCTTCCTGGAGGAGGGAGGCTGCGGCCCAGCTCCAGGCTGGGTGGCTGCTGGCCCCTTCAGCCCTTAGTGCTGAGAGCCACTGTGGAGGAGCCCGACCCCTGGGTGTTGGGGATGTCATGTCCCCGAGCAGGGTGGGGACGGGGCCCCCGCTGAGGCCAGGCTGTCCCCACAGAGGGTCTAAAGTCCCCCCAGGACCGGCGGCGGGAGCAGGAGCTGCTGAGCCAGTACGTTAGCACTGTGAATGACCGCAGTGACATTGTGGACATCCTGGACGAGGACAGACTCAGGTGAGGGGGGTGGGGCAGATGAGGGGCCGGATGCCGGCCGCCTGACACTCAGCACCTTCCCACCCCCTTGGGAGGGAGGAGAGGCCACCAGGTACATCTCACAGGTGCCCCCTCCTCTCAGGGCCAAGGACGGCCCTGGCCCAGACTGCTGTTCCGAGAGGTGGCCAGCCGCGAGCTCCCTCCTGCCGCTCCAGGCCGGGCCCACAGTGGCTCTGCCTGGATGGAAATGTTTCGCCATCTGCACTGTCTGTGTGGCGGCCACTGGGGCTTTTGGGCGTTTGTCACGTGGCGCATGCCACTGAAGACCTGAATCTGAAATTTATTTTTAATGCAAATTTTTGTAGCCACACATCTCCCGGCAGCTGCGCTGGGTCACGCAGCTTCTCAACGCTCCCCAAAGACCTTCCCTGCTTCATGTCCCAAGTGAGGGTCACATCCAGGCTGCACAGGGTCGGCAGCCAAGGTTGAGTTCAAACTGAGCTTCTGGGAGCCTGAAGGGCCTGGGTCGTTCCAGGCGTCCCACTGTCCCCGGGTCACTGGTGCAGTAGCCCGGGGCCCCTGCTGTTCCTAGGCCACTGTTGAGGGGCTGGGCCTGGAGAGGGCAGGCGGCCGCAGTGTCAGGCGGGGCTGGGCCCCCACTGTGAGAGGCCTGAGACAGTGCCTGTGCCCTCACAGCCACCCCATCCCTGTTGCAGGGAGAAGGAGGAGGACCAGGTGCTGCAGGACATGATCCAGAGGCTGGGTAGGGAAGCATGCGCCCGGCAGGCGCAGGGACGGTGGGCCGGACAGGTCCCCCTCCAGTGGGACAGGCCAGAGGGACCCAGGCCCACCGCACAAGGGACCGGAAGCGGTGGTGGCTGGGGCAGGTCTGGGCACCTGGCAGGCTTTTCCTGGTGTTCGGGGTGGGCAGCTCTGGTCCCAGCTCCTGCTGGCCTGGAGGACCCTGGCCGGGGAAGACCCCACACGACCTCACCTCCCCTCTCCCCAGACCTGCAGAAGAAAAAGTCCAAGTTCCGCTTGTCCAAGATCTGGGGCCCGAAGAGCAAAAGCAGTCATCCGGAGTGAGTGCCCAGCAGGTGCAGCAGGGCCCGCGAGGGCGCCCAGCCCAGGCCCGGGCCCAGGCTTCCCTCCCTGGGGTCTTCCTGGCCCCAATAAAGAGACTGACATTACCTGCTGCTCTTCGTGCATTTCCTGCGGGCACTGGGCCTGGGTTCCAGCTTTGTGCCCAGTGTGGCTGTCCTTTGTGTCACTGGGCACATGCTGACCTTCTCTGGTCCTGGCCTGGGCTCACTTGGGTGCATTTAGCCACTTCCTAGGTACACAGATGGCTGGACAGGAGCCTCACCTGAGGGGGCAGCTGCTGTGCAGAGTGAACTTGGGATGACCCCACTGGGGTCACGGTGTCTCTGTGGCCTGGACTCTTGAGTTCTTGGGCGGGAGGACACTGGGCATCCTAGCTGGACGGGCAAGGGTGTGTCTGGCCAAAGGAACAGCAGGGCAATGATCTGGGAGCCCAGAAATGCTCTGGGAGCAGGAGAGGCCAGAGGGAGGTGAGGGGAGTTGGCTGTCGCGGTGGTGGCCCGGATACAGCCGGGCGTGGAGCCAGCCTCCTCCAGCCACCAGCACCATGACAGTCCTGAGCAGAGGCCCTGGGGCCCTCATGTTGGGAGCAGGAAGCTGGGCTGGGACCTGGCAGCCTTGCCTGACCTACTGGTCCTGTGTGTCCCTGGGGCTGTCACCCTGGGCCTGACCCTTCCCAGGACCCATGGCAGTGGGGCCTGTTGGCCACCAGGGGGAGGCAGAGTGCCATGCAGCAGGGCCGGGGCAGCCTGGAGTGCCCCAAAGTAGCTTTGCATTTCTGGATAAGGAGACTGAGGGTCAGAGAGAGGATCCAATGCCTGGAAGTCACACAGCATGTGAGATGCAGGCCCGGGCGGACCCGAGTGGCCTGCCAGGCCCTTAGGCTGTGCCTTGCAGGGCCCCTGGGAGCCCTGGTGGGGAGGCACCCAGAGGTGGCAAGGGTTTGGGGGACAGTCATCTAGTGCTGTCCAGAGGCAGACTTGGGTGCCAGGTGTGCACTGGCCGGGCACAGTTGCTGCCATGTAAACCCAGCCCTGTGTGTGCTCAAGTCCTGAGTGCTGAGCCTGCCAGGCAGGAGGTCTTTGCTGTGTGCCAGGGTCCTGGCTCTGCTGCCCCCAGGACACTGGTGGAGGGGACTGGGGTGCAGCCTCGGGCACAGCGACTGACTGGGTCCTGGCCAGCCACTCAGCCTGCAGGCACAGCAGGACGGACCTGGGGACACCGGGTGGGGGCCCCTGGGGACCGGTGGGACCGGCTTCACCCTGACCTACTTTGGAAGCCAGGCAGCCCACACCCCGGCGATCTGGAAGCCTTGTGGGGAGAACAGAGGCCTCGGGGCTGCAGAGATGTCCTAGCTGGTTGTCCCAGGGCCACCTCCTCTGCCTGTGCATATAGGAGGCGCTCAGTATGTGTCTGGATCTTTCTGTCCCTAGAAGTGGCCCGGAGCCGGGTGTGATGACACACACCTGGAATCCCTGCACTTGGGAGGCCGAGTCAGGACGATGCTGTGAGTTTGAGGCCAGCCTGGCTGGGCTACAAACACCCCTCCCCCAAAAAAGGAGGAAGAGGGGGAGGGGAGAAGAGGAAGAAGAACGAGAAGCTCAGAACAGTGATACTCACGTATGGATAGAGGGGTGGGGCTGTTCCTCCACACACACCCTTGTGTCCACAAAGGGTCACGGAGTGAAAGACATTTGGGCCCATGGCTGCCATGGCCTGAGGCCTGGCCCAGGGGCTGTGTGGCTGCAGAAGGGAGAAGCAAGGAGGTGAGGCCAGGTGGGCAGTAACCCCTCAGGCCTGGATGCAGGAGGTGGTCCTGTCCCCACAGCCGCACTAGCCTCTATCGCTGCCCCACCCCCACTCCTGTCACCACAGGGCCTTTGCACATGCAGCACATGGCTGCTCCCACCTTCTCGTCCCTGTGTAAAAGTGTCCTCTTGAGTGGGACCACAGCCCTGACTGTCCACTGTCACCTGGTCACTTTACCTGGAGCTGCCATTGGACTTTGGGTGTCAGTCAGTCTCCCCTGGGTTTGGGGCTCACCTGCTTTCGGGGCTCACCTGCTTTCCAGAATGGGGGACTTGGGAGTGAGGGAAACCTGATCCCCAGGTGGCCTCTACTTCTTCACGTGGAAAGGAAGAAAGGCATGACAGTGTCCACCGGACTGTGGTAGGGACCTGGCTGACCTGGCAGAATCCCACACTTGCTGTGGCACCTGGGAGAGGCAGGCAGGGGTGGCTCCAGAACCTGGGACTTTAGGGGGCCCACACTGGAGGGAGACACATCGGGGTCCAGGAAGTCCCCCAAGGGGATGTCAGGGTCCCGGGGACCAGTGGGGCGCAGTGTAGAAGGTGGACGTGAGCTCTGCTGACTCCTGGCCCCGCAGGAGGGTGCAGCAGAGGACGGACCTGGCTCTCCTCCTGCAGGCCTGCCCTTCTGTGCTCTGCCTCTTGCTGTGGGAACCCCCCTGCCCCGCCCCACGGCTGTTTGGCTCCACCTGTGTTCAGTGCAGGCTCCCGGGTGCCTCCTGCCCTGGGTGTCCCCTCCTAGCGAGGGCCTCTGACCAGGTGGTGCTAGTGGGTGTCGGGGTCATTTGTGTGCCAGCCCCTCTAGGTGTCTCCCCTCAGGGTGGTCTGTACCCAGGATCACACCATTAAATTGTTAATAAGCACGCCCTGTCACCCGCTGGCCTGACACTTCGTGGTGTATGAGAGGTGTAATACAATTGGAGCCGCCATATCTCGGACATCTTATCTGATCACAAATTGAAATGATATCACAGTCCTTTTTTCTTAAATTAAAAAGCTGAAACCTTTGCGTTTGTTCTCGCCCAGTTGTGTAAAACTTAATCAGTGCTTTTTAACAGCATTCTCTGTCCACATGGGCCACTTCTAGTCTAATTTATTTGTGATGGGGCTTCCCGGAAGGACAGTTGGGTGTGTGCAGGCGTCTGGCACTGGGCTCGTGCCCGGCCGATGTGCTCGCCTGGGTCCCATGCTTACGACATCGGGGACCCAAGGACAGGGGAGCAGCTTTGGGGCTGTAAGAATTCTTGGGATTGAATCCAGGGCCACACCCTCAGCCCTTGTTTATTTATTTTGAGACAGGATCTCTCCAAGTCACTAAATGGCCCAGACTGGGCTTGAACTTGGGATCCCCCTGCCCCCGCCTCCCAGAGTGCTGGGATCACAGGGGTGCGCCACCACCCCTGACTTCACCTCTTTCCTTTTCGGAATGGGGCACTAGAAACTTCCGTGGTACCCATGGCCCTGCATTTGTGGTTGGTGGTGCATTTCTGGTGGATGGGGTGGCTGTGTTCACCTTGCACACTGAGCCCCAGTGTGAATGGCACACCCAGACGCTCTTCGCATTTTCAGGGTGTCCCTGGTGGCCCAGGGTGTGGGCACTGTCACTACCACGTCCACCCCACCCCAATCCACCGCTCCTCTGTCTCCTCTCAGCCACCCGTGGGTCTGGGCCAGTCGCCTCCATCTCCCTGCTGAAAGCCCTGGGGCCGCCATTTCTGTACAAGTGCAGCTCCCCCCAGGACCTCCGCCCTCCAGGTGCACGAGCCTGCCCCGGAAAGGAACCGCTGTGTCCTTGTCGTGGGGAGAGTTTGCCCTGGGACACTTCCCAGTGAAGTCACCAAAGGGCCAGCGGCCAGCATGCACCTTCCTTCCACTGTTCATCGCTTTGTCCAACTGAAAGGCTTTACGGACACCTCCTGTGTGACAGCTGCTCACTGGATGCCAAGGTTCCGACCTTGAATGAGAGACCCATCCTGAAGGCCTTCGGGGTAGGGGGATAAGCAGGTACAAAGGGATTTGTGATCCAAGGGCTGTGGAGCCCTGAGGAGGGCTCTGAAGGCTGAGTGAGGTTAACCAAGTGGAGGGCCGTGGCCACAGCCAGTGCCAAGGCCCTGGGGCTGAGTGAGGTCAGGCTCTACTGAGCTGGGGAGAGGAGGGAGGGATCCAGGTGGGTTCACGATCCATGTCTTTCTCACAGATGCTCTGGCCCTGGTTGCCATTGGAGGCTGGTCAGAGGGCAGCCGCAGGGAGGCCCCGGTGGGGGGAGGGAGCTGGTCATGGACCCCTGTGCCTTTCTGGTGTGGCCTGCACTCCTCCCCTGCAGGGTTGTGGGACCCACTATCTGTCTGTCTCCTACTGGGGATTGAATGCAGGGCCTTTACACTGAGCCACATCCCCAGCCCTTTCAATTTTCTTTTTTAAATTTTGAGACAGGATCTAAGTCACTCACATCCAGAGTTCTGGGTGGGCAGTGTCCAGCGGCACTGTCTAGCCCACCACACGCGGGCCTGCAGTCCCCACCAGCTCAGCCTTCCTCGGGCCCCTGACGCTCGCAGGTGAAAGGGACCCGCCCGATGCGGGGCTGTCCAGGCCGGGGGCAGGGAGCAGCTGAGCCCCTGAGGAGCGTGGCTGGAGGGCCGCCTGAGGCCCCACCTCCCTGTTGGGACAGTGGGTGTCACTGAGAGGGACTCAAGTGAAATCAGGCTGAGCCGCTCCGTGTTCCTTTGGGTCACAGACGACCCCGTCAGGGCTGGGAGCAGAAGGTACCTCAGTGCTGGTGAGTTGGCTACTTTCTGGGGCTTTCAGTGAGCCTGCTCCAGATTCGGTCACAGGCAGCCACTTGGAGAGCAGGAGGAGGGGCTGGGGTCCGCTGAGATCCACTCTGCCTGAAGCTGACCCCTGTGCTGACTGAGGATCTGTGAGCTGGAGCTGTGCTGTGCTGAGAAAGCCAGTGTGGTGGTGCACACCTGTAATCGCAGCCCTCTAGGAGGCTGAGGCAGGAGGACTGCAAGTTCAAGTGCAGCTTGGGCACTTTAGCAATTCAGCAGACCCTGTTCCAAAAAGTAAAAAGGGCTGGGCCAGGGATGTAGCTCAGTGGCACAGCGCCTGCCTGGCAAGCACAAGGTCCTGAGTTTGATCCCTGGTACCAAAACAAAACAAATAAAAAAGTAAAAAGGGCTGGGGATGTAGCTCGGTGTGAAGGCCCTGGGTTCAATCCCCAGTCCTGGAAAGTGGGATGGGGGTCAAGCCAGGTCTAGTGATCCAAGCAAAAGCGAGGCCAG